CCCCCTTCTTTTTAATGGTTGTTTTTTTTTAAAAAAAAATTCAAACTGTTGACACATGTTTTATTCAGGTGTAGATGGTTCATTTATTCGCTGTCTTAAAGTAAAAGTTAACCTGGATCATAATTGTCTTCTTTTAAAACGTTCATCATCTTGGTCATATGCCTAGTTATTTATGTATTTGCTTCCTAGTTGCAGAGACTTGTCAGTATCAGGAGAGCTTAAGATGATTCCCAGACTTTTGTCAATATATTGCAGCTGCATTCTTAATGCTAATTCCAGCACCTTTTAATTTATTATTTCTTCATATTTTTTTTCTGGCATAAAACATTTTTTTTTTAAAAAAAAGCCTTTTAATGGAATCATGCCACCTACATGCCTATACTATTAATCCTGTATGTATAAAATGTACAGTGTTTTGTGCATAGACTTTCATAATAACCCCAAGGCAGGGACAGGTGGGGATATTGTGGTTTGGGAAGGGTGGAGGGTGGGGTTGTGGGGAAGGGAATGTAAAGTTAGACAATAAAGACAAAATTGCACACCGCTTCTGGTTAAATCTAAACTAGGCTTAGACCACAATCATGTTTCTGCCTGGTTCTCTCACTTTCTTCACCCCTCGTTTGCCTGTATATTCTTCCACTTCTGCCACGTTACAAGCTTTTTAAAATAAAATTTAAAAAATCCAGATTCAAATAGCAGGATAGAGTCTTGACATGGATGCTACTCTTAAAATGGTAAAATCTATTGACAGCTGTCAGTTTTGACTCCAATTATTTCTTTATAAAATACAGTACTAGATTTGTTTTTTCTCTTTACTCTTTGAAACTGAATGTTCTAAGGGGGGGAATTCTATAGCTGCCCTCTGGTTAACTTGGGTGTTAAACCCAGTAGGGTTTTTTTTTTAAAGAAAAACTGTTGAGGATTTTAAAAACAAGTTTTCAAGCTGTAGTCTTTTCAAACACACCTGCACATTACAGTAAGACCCACAGTTCAATAAAGCATTTTCAAGACTGTTTGTTCAGTTGATTCTTTGATGTTGCTGTGTTATCCAAACAAATTGATTCTAGGCAGGACTCTACAATGATGCTTTAAGGAAAGTCTTGGTTCGCTCACTCTCGCTCTCCCTGAACACACAACTTCGTTTTAAACTTTGGTCACAGACTGGAAAATACATAAAAAAGACTCTACACGAATTGTTGAGGCTTGCTTGCTGGGTATAGAGGATGTGGTGTTCTGTCATGCCCACAAATGTTTCATTATTTCACTAGATATGCTAAAGTTATGATGCTCCATTAAAACCATATGCTCATTTAAAGCGTTTCTAAATTGTAGGAGCTTAAGTGGCCAGCGACTTTCAAATGTTATGGGGCTTTTACTTCATGTAATTTTGTAAATAAGTTAGTATCCTGTTTCTGGAATGCTGTCCATATCAGTTTCTTAAAAAGCATGAAATAGAGGCAATAAAAGCTTCACAAAAGTAGCATAAAATTGGATCTTATTGGAAATCTTGGAATATGAAGCAACCCACCTCACAAAGTTGTGGGAAAATAGGAAGGAGTATTATATATGCTCATCATCTTGAGTCATTTAGAAAAATAATACAGGTGGGATAAAAATAAATATGTAAATAAAGCCATCAATCAATGTTATCTAACTTCAAATCGAATGGACAGATTCATGGCACTGAAAGTTTATACTCTTAAACTATTTTTTTTTTTAATTTGAATTGGCTGAAAGAGACATCTAACAAATTCTAGAGTGTTACAAAACATAAAAGATTACTGACTTTACCACGTTGGTTATTAGGTTTTTTAATTGCTGTTTGCTGTTCAGGAATTGGACAAGAAATTCTCATATTCTCAGTTGACAAAAACTGAAAAAATTCAGCTTCTCATTTTTACTTACTAGGAATACATTTAATTTAACACATTCTTGGATTACATACTGGATCTTTGGTTGGCTCTGTTGTCTTACTCCTATTTTTTTTAATTTATTTATTTATATGCCACCCTTCTCCAGAGACTCAGGGCGGCTTACAATGCGTTAAGCAATTCAATACATTGTCAGTTGCCTCATTTCAGACTGATATGATATTTGACAGTTAAAATACTTGATTTAAAATCTTACACAGAACAAGGTTGTCAAAATTAGTATGACTTTTCAATTTGTATAATCATTCAATTTGAAAGTACAGCTTTCTGCTTTTACCTGTTATCAGAGTAGTCTTATGACCTCGGATTACTTTTTAAGATATTTTATTTACAAAATGGTTCAGAAAAGTTGTTGATCTATATCAGATAAAACCTAGGAATTCAAATCAAAAGACCAGTTTTTCATTTAATGCAAGCAGTAACTTCCAAAAGTCAGCTTCGATTTTTAGCTTATTGGCACCAGAGAGATCATATGTGACTGAATTAAACTCCATCCACATGGTGGGTTTCAACAGTTTTTGTTTTGTATTCCTCAGCAGCAGTAGCAGCATCTCACTAAAGCAACATGTTTAACTTTGGACGTATGGAAACTAGAGAAAAATCTTATCTATACTTTGTGATCGTATAGTGCTGTTCCAATAATTTAAATACTCTTTAACGATGCCTCTGTAGTTTCCCACACCACTGCATTTCGCACCAGCTGAAGCTTTCAAATACTGTTAAAGGCAGCTCCATTGTAGAGCAAGTTGCAGTACTCTAATTGGGAAGTAACCAAGGCATGTGTGACTAAGCAGGGCCTCCTGGTCCAGGAGTTGGTGCATAGGTAACTGCAGCCTCATCCAGAACTCAAGATAGAAGGTTTACAGAGATTGGGGAAGGGAGAGGTGTTCCTAAAACCTAGTTATTCCATTTTGCTTGGATTGCGTTGAAGCCTGTTGTTCCCCATCCTGACAATGATTCTTCCATGGCATCAAATAGCCTACTGTGGAGACAAAAAGCTATACCTCACCCAGAGACTTCATGTTTATTGATCAGATTTGTATAACCGCATCTCACCGAAAGCATCTCTGGTGTCCATGTTGATGTTAGAAACAGGAAATGAGAGTACCAGGCCTTGGGTTCCCCACCAAGCAGAGACTGGCCTAGGCATTCCTCCCTGTATTCTATCAGCCTTCAGCTTTGTTGGGAACAAAAGTGTTTTTTGACATGGATTTGCATTGGTAATTTCAAGACTTTGTAAGAAGGGAGTTGGAATGAGCACTTGAAATCAAAAATTTTGTAAATAACGTGTGACCATTATAAACATCTTCCCTCATATTTAGCTGTTGGGTTAAACCTGTACAGGTAGCCCTCAACTTACAACAGTTCTTTTAGTGACCATTCAAAGTTAGAACGGCACTGAAAAAAGTGACATGAACATTTTTCAGAATTGCCACTTTTGCAGCATCCCCATGATCATGTGATCAACATTCAGATGCTTGGCAACTGGTTCATAATTATGACCGTTGCAGCGTTTCGGGGTCATGTGATCACATTTTACAAACTTCTGACATGCAAAGTCAATGGGGATGCCAGAGTCACTTGACAACCAGGTTACTAACTTATCAACTACACTGATTCATTTAACAACTGTGACAAGAAATGTTGTAAAATGGGGCAAAACTCAACAAATTCTCTCTTAGAAACAAATTTTGGGCTCAATTGTGATCGTAAGTTGAGGACCACCTGTATATGGTGGTTTGCATAAGTTTTATCCATATGCTATAATGGAAACATCCAAAAACCTAAAGGTGCAGAATGATGAAAATAGCAAAGAGTCCTTTAGCCACTACAAATTTTCAGTTGGATGATGTCAAGGATATTTCTACTCCCCAAAAATTAAAACATCCCTATATATCTTTTAAGAAATCAATAGGAGAAATGAAGAAAGGACAGCATAACAACCTCCAAATTATCTTGCAAAGAGCCCATTTGATGTGTGTCCTGGGATATAGGCGGTCTAATGTAGTTTTCTCCTCACTGGCCTTGAGATATCTAGTTAAATAGACAATGTTGGCAAGACATTACCTCTTCTGGATAACACTCAGAATTCACTTGGAGCAGTTAAGTTGCCTCTGCTTATTGATTTTTCTAGGCTGCTGTCAGAGCTGGCTGGCGAATTCAGCCCCTTTGTCACTGCCAGGAGTTGGGTTATGTTGTTGTTGCCAAATTCAGTGTTAGGAAAGGCAACAGAAGCAGGGTGGCACAGTAAGATCTACTGTATAATCAGAGGTGCCCCAGCTATGGAACAAGGCATTTGGGATCTTGGCCTCCACTCCTACTTTTACAGTAATAAAACACTGAGTCACCTTTTAAGTATCACCTTTGCATCCATTCATTGTGAGGAGTCTTCAACCTGTCCTAACTGCAAAACATAATGGCAGAACCAGACTCGAGGCATTACTGATAATGGTTGAGAGCCACATTGAAGTTCTAGTTGTGTTGGCACAATCGGCATGGAAGCATTTCATTCCATGAACAGAAGACAGCAAATGTCTATGGAGATTCTCAGTCATCCAGATCATTGTTGTCCCAAAGGTGCTTTTTCAAGAGGAAACTAGACTTCCTGAAAGTTCAGTTGCCTCTTGGAAAAGCACCTTTGAGAGAAGATGGCAAAGGCTTACGGCAGGTTACTTTAAAGGCAGCTGAGAAAGTGAGTGAAGCCGAAGACTTTGCCGCACTATAAGATATCACTAGCTTCCTTCTACCCCATACCACACCGAGACTTCCAAGTAGATGGGGAGTCCTGGAAATGTTATGAACAAAGCTGCACCAAATAATTAGAAAACCTAGGAAATATAAAAGCCCACTCATTTCTTTGCTCCTCTGTAAAGTACTTCATAACTTTTTAAAAAAAGAAATCTGTTTTAATTCCTACAAGAGCTTCTATGAGTAGGCTTTAGATTCTTGTACGTAAGTTCTCAGGGTTGTTTTTGTTCACTACAAAGTGAATCCAATAACACCTTCTGATACAAGTAGACTGCTAGTTGTGACAAGATAGATGTTCTCTTGTAATAAAAAAAGCATCACACGTTTTATAGAAGCCTTTATTTACAACTTGTTTAACAACTGTACACTGGTTTTGTAGCCTTGGAAGCATGTTCCGGACCGAAGGGAAACATCCCGACCTCCTTCCTTCCAAACGATATCCGAACTTACAACCATTATTATCTTGTTTACCTATATACAGATAGGTTTTTAAAATCACTACAATGGCGGTTTGGTGAGAAATCATACTTTGGGGGAAATTAATATCTAGTAAATCCTAGAATTTCATTCTTATAGGAAAAAAAATACATTTTATTGGCAAAGTGACAAACAAGTAATTTTGGTAGCTCAGGACAGTCAAACAAGTTGTTATTGAAACACACAGATAGGTAGAACACATGCTTAGGATCTCAAAAAGTGGCAGCTGCTTCATGATATTAATGTTAAAGAAAGCCCAAATCATTGCAAATAGACCGGCAAAGTTGCCTAATGGAGGTTAAAAGCAAAATTCATATTCTTTCCCCTTATCTGATGGTCTAGAGGGTTTCTGTAGGTGGAAAAAATAAAAAAAAATAGGCATGATATTAAAAAAGCTCCCAACCGCAAGCACATATTTTAAGATCAGGTCAAAACACCAAGCAACTCACCAAACAACTACAAAGCAAGTCCTTCATAGGAGCTAATACAGTACAGACAAGAATATGTAAGGGAACCAAGGTAGCAGGACATATGGTTTTGTAATTGGAGGTATCTAAATAAGGAAGGCCACTCTATTGTGAGACAATGATAATTTCATTTTTATGGTACTGCTACCAAAACAATTCAGAAGACTGACAATGTTGAAAGCCAAATTTCCAGAACTGACTTCTCAACTGCCAGGTCCAGCCAAGCATCTTTTCCTTGTCTATGTACCTGCAACAACTCAATCATTCCAGCAGTAAACTTTCTCTGAAAAAAAAATCTTAAGTGTCATAAATCATAGCCCCCACCCCCACTCAAATGAATCAACACAACCAGGAATTGACTCTACTTCAGAGTCTGAAGTTGCTGGAGGACAAATATTTCATTCCATTTCCCAGCCTCTCACAGTTGAGCCACCATTAAGTTTTGCCCCAGTCTGACTGGTAGAGAGGATTAGCCAGAGGTATCCTTACTACTCAGTACTAGTTTTACTCCTTATCTATGATGTTGAATGTTAATGTAGGACACAATCAATTTATCTGAAATGATAACCGGACTGGAACTGCCAAAGATCTCTCTTCAGCCATGGTCCAAGCTACCCCATTCTAAGTTTTCTCTCTACATCTTTCCCCCTGCAGATGGAAAGACCCTGTCAAGTTTCACAACAAACTGACTCCTATTGGAACCACTCAATACTAAGCACTCCTTCGTTTTCACTTGGAACACGTAGGGAGACCATTTCTTATGGCTTAAAAATAGAAGTCAACAGCCCGGGGTCTGAAGGCCAAATCCTACCTCCCAGGTAGCCACAATTGAGAATCATGATCAAATTGTAAAACTTGTTCCAGATGCAGTTGCTCCTGCAATGAGGCTTAATATGAGTGAGGCTGGCTTCTTCCCTTCCATCTCTTCCAAGCAGTTCTCCCATAAAACTGACCAACTCTTCCAAAAGCTTCATCTCTAACCACGAGATGATAAAAGCAGTGATACAAATGTAATCACTAGGCAATATTCCCTCAGGTTTTCTCCCATAGTGCCACATTTCCTACATCTGCCTCAATACAAAGTGAAATCTACAGCAGAACAAGCCGATACTTACAAGAGTGTGAAAAAAAAGCAGCTTTAAATTTTTGTAAAGGCAGCACAATGCATTTCAACTGTCAATGTAGTCTACATGAATAACAGCAATATTTCATAACATAAAGACACATTAGTGCAATCCAAAGGGAAGGTAACATAGATGAAGGACAGAGATCTTAAGATAAATACACTCAACCCAAAGAACAATCGAAGAAAGTTCTATCACATAACACTGAAATGCAGGAAAGGCACCGTTTTTTTTAAAAAAAATGTTCCTGCTCTCTACATTCCTTTCCAGAGCTGCTTGTGCATGTATAAATGGATAGAAAAAAGGAAGGGTGATAAACCTGCTGAAGGAGATGCATAAAAACAAAAACAGGGATCTATATGTATTAAGACAGTAAGCAGCCTCAGTACATACAATATTGCATATATTGAGTGACAAGGCTTGGGTATTAAATTAAAAGCTGGAAAGGAACTGGCAACCCTTCCTATCCATTTTCTCCAACAATAACAACAACAACAACAACAACAAAATTGTTCTGGTATATATATATATGTGTGTATGTATGTATAGTATTGAACATTAGTGCACTTTTAAAATCATACTAGTAAATAAAGGTGCATTTATAAAACATATTTCAGTCTAAAGGTGTGTATTGCAAGAGGTCTGTAGGTTAATACTGTTAACAGGAAGAACGGAAGTCGTCAAATAGCACTGCCAATGAATGCTAATGCATTGTGTGCTATAGGAGCTTGGCCATCTATCCATCTTTTTTTCTAGAGCTTCAACGTTTTGCTAGGTGGGAAAGTGATGATATGGTTATCTCTCTCTATACTTCTCCTTGCAAATAAACTCCACTCTTTAAAAAAAGAAAAAGCAGATGCCCAGAAATGATATGCTATTTGATATTAACTAAGGAAAAATTCGGCTAACTTAGAACAGACTGGGGAAAAAAAGATGCAATGTACTGAACAGCCCTTATTTTCTAAGCAATTTAGCAAATTTTGGGGTGACTGTTACTACACAGTTGGCTTAAGACGATGCAATATACTGTAGATTAATAATATCAGTGAATGCGGCCTAAGATGTGAAGATATATTTGCAAAAAAGTGTCTACAGAATTTATCGGCCCTCAGAATATCCACAATGGTCCTTTGGGCATATCTGTTCTAGACAATATACCAAAAGAAAAAAAGGAAATTCTATCTAGCAGTTCCCTGCCTGGTTGCATATATGAGCTCATAGGCTATTTATATAGGAGACTTTGCTGTATATAACAATGAAACTTTTTAATATGTCAAATGTAATGTAAAACAGCTGGTCACTTGAAATTTTAAATCATTTTGCACAAAAACCTTCCACAGGTTCTCTTACACTATGCCTCTTGCAGTTTGATGTTAACCAAATCTGCTTTTCCCTGATCACATTCAGTTCTCTAGTTGCCCAAATGACTTCTGAAAACCCAGCTCAAACTGGGCAATTATTTGAGGAAAAAATAATAATGCTGAACTAATTAGGTATATTTTCACACACAAAAATAGTCCATCTTGAATTATATTCCAGCTTCAGATTTTCAGAATCCAAACTGAAAGCCTAATTAGTTTTCTAGCCAAAAAGGCAGCTTCAGACATCGGTACATGAGGCCAGGATTAGATGTAGATGGCCTGAAGCTCATTATAAGGTAAAGACTGTCTGTAACCTTTAGGCAAAAAAACATAACTGAAAAAAATATCCTGGCTAAGGAGCAATCTCTCTTGCTGCTTCTGTATAATAATGGAATAATGGAAGTGAGCAACCCACTGTCAACTGTCTTAATAATGAAGCCGCAGCCTAGAGTTTTCCATCCATATAAATTCAGCTAAATTATATAACAAAGAATTCATATCAAACATTCCTTTCCCAGAAATATGGACAATGTTTATTGTGCTCATAACCCACTATTGAAATGAAATATGTCCCTCTGGTGTATTTCAATGGCTAATTAATGGTGAATTTTCTCAACCTGATATGCCTACCCTAAAGATACATTCGAGAATGCAGTAGGAAATATTAAATATTTGGTGTGCTAGCAGGTTACCAGCATTCATTTCCTATAATTCCTTAAGTTTTCAATATCTAATTGGAATTAAGATTTAACTGATCATTTCATACATTAAAGATCACGATTAATAGGAGAAAAAACCCAACAGATATATCTTAGCCATGTCCTGTTTAGGAGTCATACAAGTATGAAAGAAAAAACTTGCAATGGGAAAAAATACCTAATTATAAAATTCTAGAAACAATGGTATAACAAAAGAGAATTCAACTTTTAACTCTATCAGAGAATTTTTGAAACTCTTTAAAAACCTTGATGTTGCAAATAGTTATAAGAAATGTTTCAAACAAAAAGTGTAGACTAGTTTGAAGATCCTACATGATTTTTTCTTTAAATTACCTTAGCCAGAAAGCCTGCACATAGCAACAAATTACACAGCTCCTGAATTCAACAAATTACACAGCCATACATGACTCCTCCATAAATTAAGGACACTGTATTTATTTAGATGCAACTAATATCTCACTTGTTTCAGTAGGAAATACCAGCCACTAACTTTCTTTGGCTTTCTTGATATGATACAGAAATGCGTGTCTGGGATACAAAATAAATGAAATACTTAAATTACAAAGCCTTGAAGTTTAAAAGAATTAGACTTTGTATTGGATATACTTATCACTTCTGCGCAAGTAGATCTGAACTAGCAAGACTGGAGAAATAAATTTAAGGTGCTTTCAGGAAAGGTGAGAAATATAAAAGACTAATTAAAAAACATGAAATAAAGCTGATCAAAAACCTCAATAATAACTAGTCAGAAAGGAGAGCTAGTGAAGAGGCTGAAAGTTGAAAAAGAAGAGAAGATAGATCTGTTTATGAAAAATTACATTCATGGTTTTTTTTCAGGCAAGACTAAATAATCAGGTTTCATTAGATTACCATAATAGTTGGCAGAAAAAACATCTTCAGACATGAGTTTTGCTCTGTTTTTGTATACAAAAGCACAGAAGTAGCCAATTAAGAATATTAGACCGTCTATATAACTTGAGCAAGTTAACTCTTGAAAGAGTAAGTACTGTGTAGGCTTTATCAAAATAAGTTTAATCAACAAAATCTTATTTATTTATTTTTTGCATCAGCACAAAAATCATGATTACCTAATAAATTTGCTTATAGGTGTAAAACCCTACAAAAGGAATTAGCCATACACTGATTATTAAATGATTTCTCTGCAGTAGGGACATCTGGCCTACTTTATCAAATACTGGAACCTACTACAGAAGGACTAATGGCATTACGTCTTAATTTTATCACCTTTACAGGAGTGGATTTTAAAAACTCCTTTCATGTGCTTAGATGGCAATGAGTTAAAAACAAGTATCTTTTAAGTCAGAAAATTATTGTGCACTGTATGACTGTATTAACAAAAATGAGGGGAATAATATCCATACCTAAATATGGTGATAAAATCCAGATCCATTCAGTTCAGAATGAAAAACAGGATTGTTACCTTACCTTTGACCCAAAGAGCCAAGGCTCTTGAAATATTCTTAAAAAGTCAACATAAGCTTAAGTTTACAAAAAACATACAGCAAAAAAAACCCCTCTCTACTGAAGTCTTCAACGAAACCTCCATCTATATGGAACAGTTTAACTTGAGTTAATCCCAAAGATTTGAGAAGGGTGCGGTAGCTCAGAAACCAGAATTCATAACTTGCAGAATCAGATAAACACTAACCTTGCTTCTGACAGATCCATAACTGTACAGGCATGAAATCTCACTTAGCACAACAGGTTAGCAAGTTTACATGTTAGAATGATCTTAACTACCTGAAGACATCAGCGCCAATGTCAAATGGGTTTATCCTTCTTATTGACCTATCAAAAACACTCCTCAGTAATGGAGGGCATTTTTTTTAAAGCAGCATTTAAACAATCAACCAGATGAAGCCAAAGGAAACGAAGTAACAGCAACATAAAATAATTCCATGAACATGTCTCATCAGGTTCTTATAACTTCTGCCAGCATGTCTATCTAATCTTTGCAAGTAATGTTACACATCTTTCTACGTAGCACAGTTGCAAATTGCATTACCCAATTTACACAGATCAAATTAGTGTGAAAAACAAAAGAGGCATATTTCTTTCAATGCACCGGTAGCCTTGGGAAGAACGCCATACCGTTTAGCCAGGGGACAAGTTAAAATTTGTTTTCATCCATTATAGGGTTTTTCTTAAGAGATGACAATTATATATGAAAAGGGATATGGGGATAGTCCATTAATACCCTCCTCCATTGGGTGTTTTTCAACATTTTGGCACGTTAAAAGAGAAAAGGAAGACTCCAGAAAAGAAGAAAGTTAGAAAGAAAAGTTCTCTTCTGGAAATGAGACATGAAGAGACAATACTGAAAGAATGCTGGCTAGGTTTTCCTGAAATACAGTCACTTATAACAGAAGTAGGTCTTGATTCCAGGATGGCTTCCATTCAAAAGGCAAGGCAAGGACTCTCTCTACCTTGCTGTGGCTGGCTGGACATGGCCCGGATAAGCTCTCCTTGTGCTGGTGGCTTGCCTTTGCCTAGCTAGGAAAGACTGTCCTGAACCAGTACTAGCAAGTCTGTCTTCTACTGCTTTTTTATGAAGAGTCATCCCCTATAGAGAGAAAGAAATTAAAACAAAAGGCATGTAGTTTTAGTGTGGGAAACTGACAGGGCTGCACGATTTCTTTGCCAAACCTATTAAGTCACTCCACTGAATTGATTCCAATAAAAGGAATCCACGTTTTCTTGGATTAAGCGAAAGGTCTTAGACACACTTCATCCCTCTTTCAGAAGAGAGAATGTTTTGGTCATCCTGGGGAAGCTCCCTTATGTTAAAAAACAGACCCGGAAATCCTGGTCCGCTTGAAGGTTCAATCATGGTCCTTTCTGATTTTCTGATTCTAAATTGGGTGCCTTCTTCCAACAGTTCTCTTTGGTTGTTTCCAAAAGTGGACCTCTCTTCTGAGACAACAATGTCAAAGGAGTCCTTGGTATTAATTTTAATTTACTCTTGCCAACTCCATGAAATTGTGTGTGTGGGGGGGGGGGACGACAGTTACACAGAATGAGGGCTGAACTGTATCAATAGACAAACAATACATTCCTTTACGTTCCTTAACACCTTGAGGCTGCGTTGAAGCCTCAAAACTGAAGCTTCAATGCAGGTTGAAGTTTCAAAAGTTCAAGGTTTCAAAACTGAGTATTATAAAGGGAACAATGTTCTTCAAACAATTAAGATACCAGGGGACACATCACCTTTGAAGTCTGAATGTCAATTTAGTTCTGGAAAACATACTACAGAAGCGAAGCAATTCATTCATCTTTGCTGGTACTCTTATTTTACAATGTGAACTCTACTTACCATATTGTACCAGGCACTGACAATGTATCTCTCCTCCATTTCTCTTTGACTCTTTGTCTTTTCATATTCTTTCTATTAGGAGGAAAAAAGTATTTCTCATGATTTCACATGCATACTGTAATGGGAGTATACTGAGCTCAGCGCTCAAGTTCGTATTTTTATTTCTGTTGTGTGGAATGGTGGCAAACTGTGGGATTTTAAATTGTTCATGAAAATGTATAGGGATTAATTTTCATCATGGAAGCTCATATTTCAGATTAACAGCTCAGGATAAAAAGCATAATGCTTGCCTTTCATGTACTTAATGTAATTGCCAAGAAGATTCAATTGTATGTGCTTTTTAATCGAGATAAGACTGACTGATTTTGAGCAGGGCTTAATTTGGTTTAAATATGCACAAGATTTCATAGGAAATTACCTCTAAGGATTGGAACATCCTCTCACGTTCCTGCAGTTGATTCTTCAGTGCCTGAATTTCAGGTGCTGAACCCAACCTTGGTTTGGGATCTAAAGTACGGATGACCTGCAAAAGCAAGAATCACATACTAAGAAGGTAACTCCAAATAGGAACATAAGAATTTCAATATTTGTTCATCTACTCCAGAACCATCTGTTCTGATTAGTGCAGTTATCCAGGATCTTGGACAGGAAAAGGTTTAAGCAGGTGACTGCCAGACTGAATCTAAGATCTTTTGCATGCAGAAGTTCTGTTACATTACTGAAACAGTGTATCTTTGGCAAGTTATTTAGAGTTGCTTAAGTTTTAAGGTCTACAGAACATCCAGAAATGTATCAATTTTAGCTTTATAGGAATTAGGAACAACATAAGAATTTTGCCACAAGGTACAACTGATCTAATGTTATAAAAATACTCAATTTAAATACTTGGGAACATATGAAGAACCTAGCCTAGATTTCTCTTCCTAGTATTTCTCTTCCTTCCTATGAATATATACTGGGGGAGGGGAGGGGAAGGGAGGAGAGGAGAGGAGAGGAGAGGAGAGGAGATGGAGTAGAAATTAGAAGAAATTAGCTACCAAAGAATGTGAGCTTGAAAGTCTTTTGTCATGAAAACAAAAATCATCATTATTATCCCTCCAAGGGGCAGCTCATTGTGTGGTGGACCTGCCTGCTCTAGTGATGCTGTTGAACAGATAAAATCATATCAGACAGATTTGAGCTGAAGAGTCTGACTAAATGTGTTCCAAAAAAGCCATCTGGTATGATGAGAATGTATAATTCGAATTTCATGCCGGATCGAATGTTGCCCGGATTAACGAAAGTCACATTGGGTGCTATGACTCCTGGGCATTCACTGAAAAATGTGCTACAGAGGTCGGCTGCCTCTACTAGGCAACCAGAGCATTGATCTGACAGGCGAAGAGAAGGCAACAGACAGCAAAGAATTTGGTTGAAGGAAAAAATAGCAATAGCGCTTAGACTTATATACCACTTCAGAGGGTTTTACAACCCTCTAAGCAGTTTACAGAGTCAGCATATTGCCCCCAACAATCTGGTCCACATTTTACTGACCTTAGAAGGATGGAAGGTCAAGTCAACCTTGAGCCGATCAGGACTGAACTGCTGTCAGTTAGCAAAGTTAGCTGCAATACTGCATTCTAACCACTGTGTCACCATAGCTATTACTACTCAAAACTACTCAATTATGGAATGTTTCTATGAATCAGAAACATTGAAATGTGAATGTACCCATTTTGAAAAGACATCCAATTTTTCGGTTAACAAACAGATTTATGGACCAAACGGACTTAATTTTCAAACACAAGTTCTTTATCAATGCTGAATTGGAAGCAACTCAAAACCAAGCAATTCAAACTTCAGGTTTATTTAGAACTACCAATAAAAATGTCAATTTGCATAGTTAGCAACAAACAGAACGTGAAAAGACTATAGGCCTTAATGGAGAACAACAGAGAAAAGAAACTGAAGTTACTAATGCATTGCCAACACTATTGGTTAATGAAGAACTAGTTGGGAAAATGGACCGAATGAAAGAAGCCAAATAATACATTTGCCAAAATTAAAAAAAAACCCTTCAGCTAAAATAGAAACAAATATTAATGGAGCTGTCAAAAATATTCCAAATGAAACAATGACCCAAATCAACCAGCTGATGTATGTCTATGTAACAACTCAAGAATTGGAATGAAGGAACGAAGGCATTAAGAAAGGAAATCCTAAATGGAAAATTTGCGTAGCATTGAAGAAAAAGAAAATTTGCAATGGATTTGAGCAATTTGAAGAGTCTGAGGCAGGGAAATTTGAAGAATAAGAAAATCAAAACTAGCCTGTGCATGAAGTACAACCTAGACAACAAAGAAATAGCAGAGACTGCAGAATAATTGAAACAAAGGGTTGTGGCCATTGCAGAGAAGTTCAACTGATATGACAATTAAATAATCCAATTCCATCAGAATTCGCAGTTTAGGGCAATACATTCTACAAAACCTGGAAAAGACCTTGAATTTTTGACAAGTTTATGGGAAAACAACAGGAATCACAGTAAGAATGCAACATGAATCAAGCAAGTTGAAAACAGTCAAATATCCAGCATGGAAGACATTAGGATAACTGAGGAAATGCCTTGTGAGCCAAGACAACATGGCAAATGATGGCTGACCTAGAATCTCTTATTAAGATTCATGACAAAGTGAAATCTGTTTTTTTTCACAATCTACCTTTACAATATACCCATTTTGGTCTTGCTGGCTCTCATGTTTTCTCACTCTGTTTTACAATGAATCTTCAAAGTGAAGTAATTTCATATTTGATTTAATATATGTTTTTGGGCCTGGCTTGCTGAAGATCTCCTGCTTAGAATTCTCACTAATCAAGCAGTAGAACATCCTGACATAAATTCTGGTCAATCCAGAATTATCACTGTTAAATGTGGCAGGTGAAAGGGAAGATACCTTCGAGGACCATTCCTCGTTTTTTTTGTTTTTTTTTAAATTGATTTATATGCCGCCCTTCTCCGGAGACTCAGGGCAGCTTACAATGCATTAAGCAATAGCCTTCATACTTTTCTATATTTATACAAAGTCAGCTTATTGCCCGCACAATCTGGGTCCTCATTTTACCTCCCTTAGAAAGGATGGAAGGCTGAGTCAACCTCGAGCCTGGTGAGATTTGAATTTACAGTAATTGCAGACAGCTTGATGTTAATAACAGTGCTTTAGTGCTTTAGACTGCTGTGCCACCAGGCTCATTCAGCCCTTACCAGAATTAACAAAAACAAAACAAAACAAAACAAAGTTGTGCAGCAAATGGTGGTAGAGGAACAGTTAAATAACAGAAGCTGAAAGTGACAGTTCATAACATAAATTATCTTGCCATTCAATGATCAATATCAAAATAATTATATTAATAACAAATTGGGTTCTATTCATTCACCAATTTCTCAAGGTGATCAACAGATTTGGGGATTAAAAGTTCTATTTTTTTATAAATGTATTAAATACAGACACAAGCATAAACACACATTTATATCTATCCAGTCATTTTGGGTTTTAATTATTTTGAAAATAGGTTTAAATGAAATAATAAGACAATGTAGTATAAAGCAGCCAAAGATGCAGTTCAGCGACTAATTATTAGCTATTCTACATTATGTTAGCACCATTTGACTCTCTGTCAGAGTTGTAGAGGGAGGACAATGTTAGCAAAAGGTGAAATACTTACACTTTTAGCTTTTTCCAAATATTTTTTGTATCGTTCTTCCATTTGCTTCATTTCTTCTTCTTTTTTACACAAAGCTTCTTGCAATTCTTCTATTCTGAGTGCTTTATTTGGAAAAGATATCACATTTCAGAATAATGCAAAAGTTTAAGAATTTTGAGATATTAGACATACTAAACAGCAGATTACATCAGATTAAATACAACAAAGAAACATAAAAATTAGAATATATATTTGAACCATAATTACAAGGAATTCTAAAAACTGGGTGAAACCCAACTGGAGGTAGATCAGTACAAATTTCTGTTTCTGATTACAAATAAGAAGTGGATGGCATCTATATTAAGCAAATATTTGTGTGGCATTATGGCAGCCTTGTCTTAAATGTTTGTGTAGTTATACACAAATTTTATGTGTATAACTACAAATATAGCTTATTTTTCCAAACAAGCTATACAACCAAAGCCATATTTACAGTGAATGCATAAAGGTAGTCCTTGACTTACAACCACAATTGGGACCAGAATTTCTACTGTAATTCAATACAGTTATAAAATGAGTCATCACATTACTAGACCCAATTTTACCATCATTTTTGCCATTGTTATCATGTAAATCTTGACTCTACGTAGAAAAAAACTGGCTGAGAAAGTCACAAATCATGATCATGTAACAACAAGACATTGCCATTGTTGTAAATGTGAGCCAGTTGCCAAGTGCCCAATGACCTCTGAGGCAATGCAATGGTTATGCCTTCTAGGGTGAACCATAAATCACTTTTTCCAAGGCTGTCATAACTTCAAACCATTATTAAACAAAAGGTTGTAAGTAGTGTTCAGAAATCTACTTGGAGAATTTCCCCAGAGCAGCCATAGTGGTAGACCCTAACCAAAGACAATAATTGAGCTCAAAATTTATGTTACTAAGCAAGACAATTTTTGAGTTTTGCCCATTTTACAACCTGTTTTGTCACAGTTGTTAAGTGAATCACTGTAGTTGTTGAGTGAATCTGGCTTCCCCATTGACTTTGCTTATCAGAAGGTAGCAAAAGCCGATTATATGACCCTGGGGCACTGCAACAGTCATAAATATATGCCAGTTGCAAAGCGTCCAAACTTTGATCATGGGGCTGCTGCAATGGTCATAAGAATGAAAAATGGTCATAAGTCACTTTTTTCAGTGCCACTGTAACTTTGAAGTCTCTAAATGAATGTTGTAAGTCGAGGACTACCTGTATTATAATTTCTGAAGGTGTCTCTATGTATTGCAGGATGTTGAAAGAAGAAAACAGAGAAGTTTATGTATATTTCATTTCTGCTAGTGAGTGAATTGCATTCAAGCATATGCTTACTCCATGACCCAAATAATAAAGGGACAATTAACCAGGTTTTATTTCATTAACAAAAATGACTACTACATAGCAATCTGCTGAAACGCTAAACCTTAAAATAAGAGCTGTGTTTAAGATCTTTATTCACAGTTTTGGGAGGAAATAAGCAAATATCTCTGAGCTTTAAAAAAATCAGTTGCAATTAAATTATTTGAAATAAAAAGAACTACTCACAACTATTGTTATAACGGGGTTCTAAATCTTCAATGATTGCCCGTTTCTTCTGAAGCTCATTATTAGCTTCATGGAGCTTTTCACTGCAAAAAAGAAAAGAATGTGCACATAAAACAATTGCTTTCTCACTCTTAATTGGATCAATATTAAAGAGAGAAGAAATTAGGATAGTATAACTGTATATAACTAAACAGTTATATAACTATAACTAAAACTGGATTATTTCAGCAAAGAAATAGAGTTTTGTCAGAAACTAGTATTAGCTGATGTTTGTTTTGATTTTTGTTTTGAGGCACTGAGGATCCTTAGAATTAAGTGAAATTAAGGAAGAAATAATGAAAGTAAAGAGACAAGGGAATGTGAACTTTAGAGATTGTGGATGTGGCTACAGATGATTTATGCTGGGTTGGAGAATATTAAGTGAAAAAAAGATTTATTTATTTATTTATTTATTTGTTAAATTTATATACCGCCCTTTTCCAGAGACTCAGGGCGACTTACAATGCATTAAGCAATAGCCTTCATACTTTTGTATATACCTGCTTAGTAGGGCTTTCGGCCCCCCCTTAAGAGGTGTTCTTTTTTATACAAAGTCAGCTTATTGCCCTCACAATCCGGGTCCTGATGTTGAAAAAGATGGAAAGTACCAGGAACCGGTACCATGCCTAGTTTCATTTCTGTTGATAAGCCTATGAGGAAGAAATGATGTCCTAGAGAACCAACAAATTGTTGCAAGACAATACAGTAAGAAGGCTGCAGCCACCACCATTAACAGAGGAGCAAGAGGTCAATGGTGGAGGCAAGAGACTGGAGGCAACCTCTTGGAACAATGAGCTTTGCACACAGAGATCCCCAAAGAGCTGTTTTAAGGTACCCAGGAAATTACTGGGTTATCTCTGGAAGGCAAGGGAACTTTGGGGAGAGGCCCTGGATAGGCTAGGAGAAAAGGAACCTGCTTTTTCATTCAGTTCTTTTCTTCTAAGGCTTTCAACTGATTTCCTATTTCCTTAACATTTGTTTAGTATGGATACTACTAATAAGATAGTCCAGTCCAATTATGACATTCAATCATGATGGCTGTAAGGAGGCTCAGGGTTTCATTAGAACTGTTATTTGAAGCTCTTAGCTATTTATCTGGTATGTATTAGCAATTTATTTTGTACATAAATTTCTATCCATATGTATTGTTGCATTTCTACTGCTTAGAACTTTATTTCACAACCATAAAAAAGCAAAAGTTAGTATATACAAATATAGTATACCACAGTACTATATATAAATATGTTAAGGGGACAAAACGTTTGCCACCAAATTGCCATACTCTGAGCTCAAACCAACAACATAATTAATAGAATTATATAATAGAATAATAGAATTATTGGGGAGGGGGAGAGTGAATACACACAAACAGATAAAAGCACACACACACTTTATCCCACACCAATCCCATATACACACATCTCTCTTTCTTAATTAGCCAGTATGAGTTGACAAGACTTTGGCGATAACATATTCACTTTCACTCTACTCAGTAGAGATAAAATAGTAAAGATATTACTATTTTAAATTAATAATTGTACCAATTCTGCTTGCTTACTTATGTAATAAGGAAATTCCTACTTCAAACCATGATTTAAACATTTTATCAAATTATTAAATATTATTTCTGAGCCCTAAAGAATAAATTTATTAAACTAAGAACACACACTATAGATTTGCACCAGGAGGTAAGAGTTGCAGAATTATTACTAATATACGAAGCAATTTCAAGTGATTCAATCCTAATTATTCTCCATAAAATAAAAAATATTTATTATTATTATGAAAACGAGTAATATTTTTATTACTTACAGATGTTCATCAAGTTTCTTTTTCAGAATGACTGACTATAAATGAAAGAAAAAAAAAGAATTACTTGAAACAAACAAAGCTGTATACTTTTATCTATACTTTTAACTGAACATGTTTGACATTCCGGACAAAGAACTTATGGGGAAAAGAACTAGGCTGCCTAATTTCCCTCCTTATGTGTTTATATGCAAATTCGTGGTATTTATCTATCTCTTCATATGCCAAAGCATCTCAAAGTAGTTTATAATAAAAATAGCAATACAGGTAATTAAAAATACTTAAAACAATGCAAACAATATAAAACAGTATTCTGTTTTTAAAAAGTCCTTAAAAGATACAGCCAAAGTCTTTTTTTTTTCTTTCCAACATTCAAATTGAGAAGGGTTGGATGAAAAAATGAGTTCTGAATATGTTCCTACAAATTATTAAGTCAGGTGCTCCACCCTGTGCTTTCCACAGCATCAGTGCTGTCACAGAGAAGGCCGCCCAATATTCAGCAACTCTAGGGTTTACAGAGCAGGATCATGTCTGATGATTTCAGTACTAACCCAGGCTAGTAACGTGAAGGCAACTTAGGTCAAGTTACTGAGGGGTTAATATGTCATGACCAAAACCTTGAAAATAGTTCAACAACTGGCAGCCAATACAGCTGCTTCAAAAGAGCCATAATATGTGCTCTGAGTCACAGAGCAGCCTAGCTGATGCAACGTGTAGCAAATACAAGGGCAGACCCATACCGAGGACATTGCTATAATTTAAGCATGAAGTTACAAGCATGTGAATGAGTATAGCTAGACTATCCCTGTACAACAGAGGTCTTCAAACCTGGCGGCTTTAAGACTTGTGGATTTCAACTCCACAAGCTATGCTGGCTGGAGAATTCTGGGAATTGAAGTCCACAAGTCTTAAAGTTGCCAAGTTTGAAGACCTCTGCAGTACAAGAAAGGTAATAATTTGAATAGCAGCAAACAGCAATAATTCTAACCACAGAGGTCACCTGGCTCTCCAATGATAATGATAACTTTAGAAGTTAACACAGTGCCCTTAATCCTCAACTCACTGAGATAATCCAGGAGCATATTGGGGTCAACAATGTCAAAAGCCATTAGGAGTTCAAGCAAAATCAACAAGAGTTATGTTCCCTTTATCTCTTTTCCAGAGACAGGGAGACATGATTGATTCCTTCCCAAAACCAATCTCCAGATTGAGATGAAAGCACTGTAAATATAATTTAACAGTATTATAGCTGGGATTATATGCTAAAATGTCTTTTACAGAAATTTTACAGTGGATGTTTTATGGATGATATATATTTTCATGGGTATTTTAAGTGTTCTGCATTTAAATCACCAGGAGTGCCTGGCAGATTTGGTAAGAATCAATCCAAGAGACCAACAATGTATTTATTTGGGGTAGCTCACATATGACAACACCAAAGCCCTCTCCATAGTATGAAAACACAAGAAGAAAAATGTGCATGTATGATTCAGAATTATCTGATTGTTTGCACTAGTATTTCACATCAGTTCCTATATTATAAAGGAATTTTATACTATATTAAACCCTCTCAACTAAATATAAATATAAGGTCCATGTCATTTGAGAAATAATTTGAGGAAACCCCTAATGGATTAAATTTATAATTTAGGTGCAACCTCAGACATTTCCAATCATTTGTATATCTGTTTCTAGGAAAACATGCCACAGAATTGTGTAGAAGCTGCCAGAAGGACAACACAGCAAAAAATAAACAAACAAACAAACAGATAGCACATAGAATGCAAAAAAGAATTAAAATCCTGTCCAATTAAATGTCCTTTTTTGAAACATTTGAGTCACAAATGAGACTGATTCAGAGCAGGTTGAAATAAATAGGAAGCCATACTCACAATAGCCTTGTGCAGAAACCCATGCCAAGAGACAGAGGTGACAGTTTAGTGCGAAGTGAACAGCAGCCAACAGAAGGAAACTATTTAGTATCTTTTCTGAAGAATATACAATTAAAGCAAGGCATTCTCACACAGCATGCACATTATCTTCTCTTTCTGTGCTCTCTAAGGTTTCTTTCTCCTATCTCCTCCTCTAGAGAATTCTGAAAAACTATCACAAAGGTGTGTTAAGGATAGGAGTGAGTGTTTGAACTCAAAGCAGATACTACAATAAACAAGGTAACTTTATGAAAATATGAACTCAAATATATAATAGTAAAAAAGGGATTATCATAATCCCAACTTCTTTTTGCATGTACAAGGTTTTGGTGCAATATGTAGTAACAGTCTGCTGAATGCAACCTAGTATAGTCTATGATGGAGACCGGCATAATGCTTACAATATATTTTATCCAAAACATCAGGACCTTATTTGTATAAGTTGGTTTTTCAATGATATTTCAGTAATGATTGGTCATACAATGTACAAATCTAAAACTGCTTTGCTCACAAAATTAAAGGGGAGGGCATTGGGAGTCTCAGCACTTACGGTAGTAGTGTGCTGTGAACGTATTAAGCCATTTATCAGTTTCATTTGCTACAATGCGTTTATCATTCTTAGAAGGGAAAATAGCACCCTCATGTTATCATGGCTCCAATGCTGCAAATCAATCTGGACTACATTGATATATATTGCCTGTAAGTCAGAAGATGCATCTTTCTATCAAGAAAGTTATTAGCTACCCAGAAAGCTGTAATTTTTACTGCTGCCACCTGTTCTGTATAGGTTTAAAGTTGGTTGCCAGCTGAGTCTCCAGTTGGAAATATCTACTCCAATCCCATCCCATCTCAGCTATTTCTTTGACTATCCCATCAGATTTCTGACAGAGACCTGACTGCAAATGTTAGACTTTTTTTAAATACCAGCTTTTCTTTTGAGAAAATCAACTGGATTTCATTAAGAGGATAGGGGGGCAGGAGGTAGGCAGTTCATCAATAAAAAGAACAGAAACAGAAAATGGCATTACTTTGCCTTTATATACAAAGGTAATGAAATTTGACAGAACAATTAATATGATTAGCAGGAAAGTAGGGGGCACCAGAACATTTAGGGCTATGTATTTGTGTATCTTTTCACTTACATCTTCAGCTTTTGATCCTTGATCCTGCAAAGACTTCTGCAATTCTTCAACCTGAGATTGTACTTCAAGCAATCTCTGGTTTACAAGCCTAGAAAAAAGAAACAAGACTTAACTTTTAAGAAGCACCGGTGGGTTTATTTTTCTCCTAAAAGAATCATCTGCTAGTCAAGGCCCTTGTGGGTGTTTAGAAATAGTTGTGGAAATAATGGCCTCAAGGTTTTATTTTCTTATTAGCACATTCTCCTGTCCTTCAAATGAAGCAATAGTACTAAGTCTCTTCCTAATTATGGTACAAGTCAATGAAGTCACAAATCTGGAGGGCCCGGGACAGGGGTTGCTCCTCTATCCTGGTCCTATTAGACCTCTCAGCAGCTTTTGATACCATCGACCATGGTATCATGCTGCACCGGTTGGAAGAGTTAGGGGTGGGAGGCACCGTGTTGCGGTGGTTCTCCTCCTTTCTATCTGATCGGTCGCAGTCTGTGTTGACAGGGGGGCAGAGGTCGACCCCGAGGCCCCTTATATGTGGGGTGCCACAGGGGTCGGTTCTCTCACCCCTTCTGTTCAACATTTATGTGAAGCCGCTGGGTGAGATCATCCGTGGTTTTGGGGTGAAGTATCATCAGTATGCTGATGATACTCAGCTATACATCTCCACCCCGGACCACCCCAATGATGCCCTTAAAGTGATGTCCCAGTGCCTGGAGGCTGTACGGATCTGGATGGGGAGGAACAGACTCAGGCTCAACCCATCCAAGACCGAGTGGCTGTGGTTTCCGACGTCCCGATATAGTCAATTGGTGCCATCACTGACTATTGGGGATGAGTCATTGCCCCCCACGGAGAGGGTTCGCAACTTAGGCGTCCTCTTGGACTCACGGCTGTCTTTAGAAGAACACTTGACGGCTGTGGCCGGGAGGTCTTTTTATCAGGTTCGCCTGATTCGCCAGTTGCGTCCCTTTCTGGATCGGGACTCGTTAAAAACGGTCACTCATGCCCTCGTCAGTTCACGCCTGGACTACTGTAATGCTCTCTACATGGGACTCCCCTTGAAGAGCACCCGGAGGCTCCAGCTGGTCCAGAATGCGGCCGCGCGGGTAGTTATGGGAGCAGCATGGCGCTCCCATGTGGCTCCCCTTCTGCGCGAGCTGCACTGGCTCCCTGTGGTCTTCCGGGTGCGCTACAAGGTCTTAGTTACCACCTTTAGAGCGCTCCATGGCTTAGGACCGAGATACTTACGAGACCGCCTTCTGCCACCAATAGCCTCTCACCGCCCAGTACGCTCCCATAGAGAGGGGCTTCTCAGGGTGCCGTCAGCCAAACAATGTCGACTGGCGGCCCCCAGGGGGAGAGCATTTTCTGTGAGGGCACCCACCATCTGGAACGAGCTCCCCCTAGAGATACAGAAGATTCCGGATCTGCGCACTTTCCGCCGTGCCCTCAAAACATTCCTGTTTCAGCAGGCCGGCCTGGCCTAACTTTCCCTTTATATTGCTTTTTGATTTTATTTTAAACTGGGATGTCTTGAATTACCTAGGACCAGAATGTTTAGTATATTTTAATTGGTTTTTTATTATTAACGTTTGTATTACATGTATTTTTATCGTTCGCTGTTCACCGCCCTGAGTCCCTTAGGAATAGGGCGGTATATAAATTTAATAAATAATAAATAATAATAATAATAAATATGTATTAAGCACCTCACAGACTATGTGAAATACAGTGGGGTTTTTTTAATGAAGTTGATTAGTTTGCTGTCATGGGCTCCATGTTACTTCTCATTCTCATTTTTCCAACATCTCTAGCAGTTCAAGATCACACTGCTAAAATACACGCCAAACTATTGATTTTTCTCAATGCAGTTTCTTGAGTTCTTCAAATGGAACCAGCACAAAAATGGGTACATATAGTTTTCTTCTTTTTCTCTTCTTTACCTCCTCTTTTACTGCTTTGGATGTCTAAGGAGATACAAAGTTCTGATTCTTGCTCTTCTGGCAGCCTCAAAGTCTCTCAAATTACAACCTACTATGTCTATGTCATGACAGTGGTAACAGGACAAAGTAAGGGATTGCTAGGAGTGGGTGAAGTATGGCGTGGCCTTGTGCCACATGTCCCCTCCCACTTATGACTGTATGACTGTAACCTTGTTGCTGGTATCCTTAAGATTTATATTGACTGTTTCCCTATGACTATAATTAAGTGTTGTACCTTATGATTCTTGACAAATGTATCTTTTCTTTTATATACTCCGAGAGCGTATGCACCAAGACAAATTCCTTGTGTGTCCAGTCACACTTGGCCAATAAAGAATTCCTATTCTATTCTATTCTGGTAGCCATGAAGGCCATCCTGGGTCACCCTGAAACAGCCTTGTTAAAGGGGCTCTGGTGAAGTTGGGACAGGTCCTGCAATGGGTAATATATTGCTACAAAAAATTATAACTAAGGTACATATAGCAAAGCCTCTATTAAGCTTAACATATCTTTTGAATAAGAAATATTCAAAATGTCCTTTTAAAAAAAGGACAAACATTCTGACCCTTACTCTAGTGATGATATTACCTCATCACTCCAATATATCCTTGAAGTCTTCAGAATTAACAAACAATAATGTGCAATCCCAGCTAAAAATGTTGTTTTTAATATCTTTAAAGTGGAAGCAAGTGGTTTCAATCCACTTCCACTCCACTAGTCTAAAAGGAAAACAGCACCTTCTTACCTGTTCTCTGTTTCTAATTCATTCTTTCTTAGATTGGCATCATCCAAGAGACTCTGGAGCAAAGCAATCCTCTCATTGTCAGAGCCCTCCTGGTGAAGTTTTAGCACTCTGTTTTCATGTTGAAGGCGAATAAGCTTTTCCCTTGAGAAACAAAGCAGGAGTAATGAAATAGTGTCATTCTCTGGGAAAGATCAATACCATCACTATAGAAAGTATGCATTGTGAAGTAACCCTCCTACATTAATTGGACAGCATCAACCTACTTTGGATCATTTTTCTCAATAAATAAACATGTTTGTTTAATTCAGTCCTCTCGATCTAGTTTTAGGACTTGTGTTAGGTCATATGTATGCAGAAATAATGAAAAGCCAAAGAGTCACAAACATTTAGCCCCTTCCCCCATAGCTTAATCCAGTTGACAACATCATTGTTATACTTCTCGTGTCTTTCTATCCTTGCAAAGCATTTTGCTTCCATCATATCTACACACTACTTCATATACTGTCTCTGTTATCTCTTCTCTTTTTCAAGAGCCTTGGTGGCGCAGCAGACTAAAGCACTATTAAGTAACACCAGCTGCCTGCAATTATTGCAAGTTCAAATCTCACCAGGCTCAAGGTTGATTCAGTCTTCCATCCTTTCGAGGTAGGTAAAATGAGGACCCAGTTTGTGGGGGCAATAAGATGACTTTGTATAAAAAAGAACACCGCTTGGAAGGGGCGAAAGCCCTACTAAGCAGGTATATACAAAAAGTATGAAGGCTACTGCTTAATGCATTGTAAGCCGCCCTGAGTCTCCAGAAAAGGGCGGCATATAAATTGAACCAATAAATAAATAAATAAATAAGATCTCATCAGTTCCGCCCATCCATGTTCTTCCCTTTAGTCATTTAGTTTTCCTTCATATATTAACTTTTGTGATCAAATCCTCACTCACTCTTTCTGAATAACCAAACCTAGATTATCTTCCACATCATTTTTTTTCCCATGCTCACTCCTGAAGCAAAGAATGGCTTGTCAGAATTTCTCATCACCTTTGTATCCTTCACTAAATCAATCTTTCATCACAAACAATTATTCACCATAAACAATCACATCAATTATAATTTTAAATTCATTCCTTTTCAATTTGTACAGGTAGTCTTCACTTAGCAACTGCAATGATCATTCATAGTTAGTGGTGATGAAAAAGAAACCTTAGGACCAAGCTTCTCATTTACAACCTTCACAGATGTGTAAAGCAAATGAAAGCTGAAGTAAGTTCTAATGATCAGGCGCAGTTTCACTTAATGACCATTCTGTTTAAGTACCAATTTTCTGATCCCAACTGTCATCACTAAATGAGGATTACCTATATGCATCAACAATACAATCTCATTTTTGTACTCTCTCCTCATTTCCACTCATCCACTCCTGTCACCTAAAAGAATAATTTTCCTGTTTTTCTTCAGAAAGCTGCTCAATTTTTGTACAACTTATCTAATTCATACTTTTAAAGCCATAGAAATAAAGATATTTATTTTCTCACTAGCTCCAATTTAACAGGCATTAATCAATTTTATTGGTATATTTTATAAACCATCTCTAACCCCATAAAGTTAAGAAACATATTTTTAATACTAGCTTGATTCAATTACTCCAATATTAATTTCCATTTAAGCTCATCAGGAAGCTTCAGAGAAGAAAACAGAAAGTATAACAGAAACTGAACAAATTCAATGAGTGAGGTTACAGTAAATATCATCAATTTTGATCTATTTTATGCGAATCTGCTCGTGTGAAATAGACCATATACATTCCCCATCTCCTTTTATTCAACAGGGTCTTCAATAGTTTAGTTTAGTTTAGTAGATAGAATGTGTTTTTTTAAAAAAAAAATGAAAAGAGAAAGGAGATAAAAGTACACTCACAATTCTTGTGAAATTCAAGGAAGGATTAAATTGATTCAGGCCTACTAGAGATTTATTTTTCAAATATTTGCCTGAGGAAGATTAAGCCCATTTTCAGTAAATTTAAAGGGAAATAAAATTTTAAACTGGACAAGATCAATAAGAACTATTAATCTTAATCCTGGTAAAATGTCAGTAATATATGAAGTTAAAAGTGTGACCATATAAAAACATTTTATGTTTATCTTACTTTATTTCTGGAGTAATAATTTCTGCTGCCAAACTGTCAGAACATTCTTGACCTTCCAAAGGTAATAATCCTTTTTTAGGGAATGAAGAAGAAAGAAGAAAGAAAATATTAAACAGGGTAGAATAGTAAAGATGAAAAAAATACTGTGATTTCAGTATTCCTATCCAAATCCAATAAATACTTAAGCATGCAATTCAGAAAAGAAGAAAAAAGCAAAACATTATCCTCTCATAAAAATATCCCTATATATATACATTTTCAAGCCTCCAATAAAAATTTGCAATCTGGTAAATAGTGATTTGTCCTAATTCTTGCTTAAGCATCTCCAATATTATTATTATTATTATTATTATTATTATTATTATTATTATTATTATTATTATTATTATTATTATTATTATTTATTGAATTTGTATACCGCCCTACTCCCGAAGGATTCAGGGCGGTGAACAGCCGAATAAAATACATATAATACAAATGTTAAAAAACCATTAAAATACAATTAAATAATTGGCCCGGAGAACGAAATTTAAAACACCCCAAATACATAAGACAAATTTAAAATTTAAAAATTTTAAAAAATTTTATTCACATGACAAATAGTTCCTAAGTAAGTACTCTACTTTCAATATTCTAACAAGAGGCAAAAATGGATCAGTGATACAAGTTTTAATAAGGGATATAATTTTCTCATAAACCATTACATTTCCAGAATCTTACCTGAAGAAGTTAGTTGTCCTTCTTGTGCTTTTATACAATGGATCTCTTCAATTGTTTCCTTTAAAGAATCTCTTTCTGTTTTCAGCCGCTACAGAGTTTAAAAAGAAAGATATTTCACTATTCCAGTAGACAGTTCATAAAGGATGAAGTTATGTTACAGATAGTTCTTGTCTTATGCTCACAATTGGGACTGGAATTTCAGTCATAAATTGGGATGATTATAAAGTGAGTCATCATGTCATTGGTCATGATTTTACAATCATTTTTACTGTAGTCATTATTAAGCAAATCCAGCTTCCCCAACTGACTTTTTCCCTCAGAAACCAGCTGGAAAGATCACAAATCACAACCGGTTTTAAATGCAAGCCATTTGACCGGTGGCTGAATTGTGATTACGTGACTGCAGGGGTAGCGAACAGATGTGAGAACAGATTGTAAATCATCACTGCATCACATTGTTTGTTCATGTTCAGATGGCATTTCACTAGCACTCATACTTCCTTGTCACATATAAATATTTTACAATTACATACTTAAAATTCTAAAATTTATTATGAGTTTAAATTCAAGGGAAAATAAATTAACTAATATTTCTTAAGTATGTAACAGGTTGGAGTTATAAATTTGGAAGGAATATTTAATTATGTATCACATAATATGGCCCAATATTTCTGGAGGAAAGCTATTAAAATCCTTGAAACTTTTTAATAATAATCTTAGATTAATGATAAAGTTAGCAGGATCATATTGCTACGATGTTCCATGTTAATGGAAGCAAGTCAAGAAAAACTAGGTGAAAAGTCTACAACTGATATGTGGATTATCATGATACAGATGCAACCATAAAAAAACAACTGCAGTACATTATGGTTTATACTAGAGCAATGCTTGCTTAAGTTCACTAGCCATCACAAAACTTCTCATTATCCCTGTGCTAATGAACAACTACAATCATGGCCGTAAATGTTGGCACCCCTGAAATTTTTCCAGAAAATGAAGTATTTCTCACAGAAAAGTATTGCAGTAACACATGTTTTGCTATACACATGTTTATTCCCTTTGTGTGTATTGGAACAAAACCAAAAAAGGGAGGAAAAAAAGCAAATTGGACATAATGTCACACAAAACTCCAAAAATGGACTGGACAAAATCATTGGCACCTTTTACTTAATATTTGGTTGCACACCCTTTGGAATAAATAAGTGAAATCAGTTGCTTCCGATAACCATCAATAAGCTTCTTACACCTCTCACCCGGAATTTTGGACCACTCTTCCTTTGCAAACTGCTCCAGGTCTCTCTTATTGGAAGGGCGCCTCTTCCCAACAGCAATTTTAAGATCTCTCCACAGGTGTTCAATGGGACTGAGATCTGGAGTCATTGCTGGCCACTTCAGAACTCTCCAGCGCTTTGTTGCCATATACTTCTGGGTGCTTTTTGACGTATGTTTGGGGTCATTGTCCTGCTGGAAGACCCAAGATCTCCGACGCAAACCCAGCTTTCTGACACTGGGCTCTACAGTGCGACCCAAAATCCGTTGGTAATCCTCAGATTTCATGATGCCTTGCACACATTCAAGGTACCCAGTGCCAGAGGCAGCAAAACAGCCCCAAACATCAGTGAACTCCACCATATTTCACTGTAGGTACTGTATTCTTTTCTTTGTAGGCCTCATTCCGTTTGCAGTAAACAGTAGAATGATGTGCTTTACCAAAAAGCTCTATCTTGGTCTCATCTGTCCACAAGATGTTTGCCCAGAAGGATTTTGGCTTACTCAAGTACATGTTAGCAAACTGTAGTCTTGCTTTTTTATGTCTCTGTGTCAGCAGTGGGGTCCTCCTAGGTCTCCTGCCATAGCATTTCATTTCATTTAAATGTTGACGGATAGTTCACGCTGACACTGATGCTCCCTGAGCCTGCAGGACAGCTTGAATTGCTTTGGAACTTGTTTGGGGCTATCCTGCGTTGGCACCTTTCATCAATTTTTCTCTTCCGTCCACGCCCAGGGAGATTAGCTACAGTGCCATGGGTTGCAAACTTCTTGATAATGTTGCATACTGTGGACTAGATCTCTGGAGATGGACTTGTAACCTTGAGATTGGTGATATTTTTCCACAATTTTGGTTCTCAAGTCCTCAGACAGTTCTCTTCTCCTCTTTCTGTTGTCCATGCTTAGTGTGGCACACACAGACACACAATGCAAAGACTAAGTGAACTTCTCTCCTTTTTATCTGCTTTCAGGTGTGAGTTTTATATTGCCCACACCTCTTACTTGCCCCAGGTGAGTTTAAAGGAACATCACATGCTTGAAACAATCTTATTTATCCACAATTTTGAAAGGGTGCCAATGATTTTGTCCAGCCCATTTTTGGAGTTTTGTGTGACATTATGTCCAATTTGCTTTTTTTCCTCCCTTTTTTGGTTTTTTTCCAATACACACAAAGGGAATAAACATGTGTATAGCAAAACATGTGTTACTGCAATACTTTTCTGTGAGAAATACTTCATTTTCTGGAAAACTTTCAGGGGTGCCAACATTTACGGCCATGACTGTAAATCCTCTACTCTGCTGAGTTTATTATATCTTTAAATAGATTATAGGGAAAGGTAACCTAGCTGAATAGACACAGATATAGAGCTGAAAATTTATTATGAGATCTGAGATAAAGAAAATGAAACAGATTTTTTTTTATTTGGAATAAAAGACAAACATGATAACCTAGATCTGAAAGTGTGTACATTAACATGATAGGTAAAGCCTAATAAAGAAAAAACAAAAGGAAACATAATAGGTATATAAATTATGATTTGGTATTAGTTAAGCATAAGCTTTATAATGATACAGCCTTGATTGCCATCCTTATCTGTTTTCTTTAAGTGGTTACTTAATTTGTTTTTGCCTTCAACCAGCAAATTAATTAAATCATCTATCAGGCAAACTTGCATAAAACAATGATGGAAACTTGCGCAAAATCAATAGAGAAAAGGGAAGCACAAATAACTCCAAAAAGCAAAGCTATTAATTGAGAATTCATCAAGAACATATACTAAAAACAAATTGTATCACTGAATTTTCAAATGGAAGAAGATACTTTAAAAAGATAATAAAAAAGTCAAGATCAAAAGAAAAGAAAAAAAAAGAACAGTAGAAAACAACAACTAAAGAGTTCAGAGCTGACTACACACGCATAATAAAGATATATACACTATATTTAAAACAGCCAATTTAATTATCAATATTTTAAGTATAAAAGGGAACAGCAACATTTATATGTTGAATACATACATCTTTTTCTTTTTGGAAACTATCTACTTTTTCTTTCAGCATCTTGTACTCAAATTCTAGTTTGTCTGCTTTTTTGGATTCTTCAGACAATCTGTTTTGAAGTTCAACCACCTGCAACAGCAAGAAGGATCACAATGTATCGATATAAAAGTGTAAATCTTCATTAAGAGCCAGTAGTAAACATAAGATAAATCACAACAACTTTTAAATTGATACTTTCTTTTTCCTTCCTTCTCTTCAACTTCTCATTTCAATTAATTAGACATATTCAAATCTACAACTATGGTATTTCAATGCTAACTTAAACCTGGTTAAAAATTTATAATGTTTTAATCTTTTAAATTCTATACCAAATACAGACATAACAATATTTTTCCTGTTAGGTTAAGTAGAAGTTTCAAAATCCTCCACATTGGTCAAACTAAGAGACACAGGGAATATACAGAAATTTGCGTAGGTTTCTTCTCATAACAATAACTTATTGTATTAAAACCTAGCAGTGACAATCAGTACTGTGGGGAAACCTGGAAATAAATAAATAAATAAATAAATAAATAAATAAATAAATAAATAAATAAATACAATAGTTTAAGTGATAGCAATGTTAATAATTGGACTCCTAGCATTGAAAAGAACACATGTCTTTATTGATGAAAGAATAAGGTCAGTTAACATCCCACAATCACTACATATTTCCCATTTTGATTTGGCAAAATTATACTTCCTATTCAAATCTGTTCTTTTACTGAGCTATGTAACTAATAGAAATGAATACAATAAGGATATATACCAACAGATACAAATGAGAAAGAAATTGGCAAAAAGAATTTGATTTGAAAAGTTATCTGACTCCCAAATGACTCTACATAATTAAAAGAGAAGGGAAAAAACTGTTACAATTTAACAGAGAAAACAACATATACATCCAGACAAAATCACTCAACATGTTACCAGAAAAAAAAACAACCTAGGGGTTTGGCAAACAACCTAACCTTAGGCCTGGAAGGACATCATGCCTACTCCAGCACCCAAGCTACCACACCACAGGAGTGGTGTGGTAGCTTGGGTGCTACCACACCACTCCTGTTTCTACTTTCTCTCAGGAGAAAATGGCAAAGTGACCGGCATAAATTATTTTCAAGACAGTCAAAATTATATTTTTGTTCATTCCTGTTCTCACCTGCCTCTTATATGTTTCCAATTGGCTGCGAGCTGCATTGGCTTTCCTCAGTTCTTCTTCCAAGCTCACCGTGTTTTGCATGTACATTGTGTTTTTCTCTTCCAAAAGTTTTACTTGCCTCCGAAGATCTCCAAGATCTTCTAGCTTCTTTTTGTACGAGTCTACTTGGCTTTCTAACTTGGCTACTTTGTCAGAAGAGTGCCTAGAAGGAGAAGTGTTGCCAAGACTCAATTATTAGAATCTCTTTTCAAATATATTTCAGTTTATTGGAAGAATAGCCTTAGATTCATCTGTTTAAGTAAATATTAAAGCTGTGCTACTTGCAGGGAAATGGGACAGGAAAACACATTCAGCAATTCTTGATCTTCACTGAAGACAGGGTGTATACCTGACTGCATTTAGCCATGGCACATTGGGACTTTCCAGTGTTGGGACCTCAATCCTCTTGGAAACAGACAACAGGAAAGTCCATTTTTCTTTTTGTATTTGGAGGAACACTTCCAAACTTGAAGGGGTCTCTAGACAATCCTATGTATCCCTAGAGTACTTGCCAGTTCATCATCTAAGATCACTTAGCAGCTGACATTAATTAAAAAGAATTAAAAAGATGAATTCATAACAAATTAATGGAGACATAATCATCCTATAGCATAATATAAAACTGCCCAAGCTACAGTAAATGGACAGCTTCTGCCCAAAAAATGAAGATGGGGCCCAGCAGTACAACTATAAAAAACCCATGTCCAGTTCTCACCTTGATTTAACCTGGAAGTAGAATCTAAGCATCCAAATAAATTTACATTGGTGTTAGTGATCTTGCTTACTATGGTACTTTATATTAATTGGACCTACTGGACAATTTTTAGGGAACATGACATGTAATAATTGTGTTATTGAGCATAGCCAACTTTAGGGGCAGGGAATCTGAGGGATCACCTTTTTCTAAGAGTCTCTACCCATCTAACTAGATCAAGCAGAATGGGCATGCTGCAGATCCCATCAGCCAAAAAATGTTGAATGACGGGAACCAAAAGATGAGCTTTTTCCTCAGTGGCACCTGCTCTATGGAACATCCTTTCTTCGGAGATTGGAATGGCCTCAACCCTTGTTAGCCTTTCATAAGGCCTTAAAAACCTGGCTATGTTCCCATGCCTAGGGTGCTGAATGTGTTAAGAGGCCCAGGTTTCTTGGCTGTATTGCTAACTGCCCAAGTATCTCGCTCCTATGTATATTTAATCTGGATGCTTTTAGTGTTTTTAATGGTTTTAATTGTAATGTGTTTTTTTTAATTGTAAACTGACCAGAATCACTGACTGAGATGGGTAGCTATAAAAATTATTGAATGAATGCAATGTTGGATTTATTCTAATCAACAGATAATGAAACTATATAAGAAAATATATAACGTAAAGCAGGAATGTCAAATTCACGGCCCACGGGCTGAATGAGTCACACGCTGGCCACGCCCACCCCCGGTTTAGTGAAGGGGGAAAAGTCACAATACGTCACATGCTGCGAGTTTGATACCCGTGACCTAAAGAGTTAAAAATGATTTACCTTAATACATCCATCTCATCTTTCAGAGATTGAGCTTCTTCAGCCAGATTTGTTAATTCTTCATTTTGTTGCCGTAAGTCTGCAATTTCCTTTTCTAACTCTTCGCAACGAATTCTATAATCATCTTTTGCTGCTTCTAATCTGAAAGAAAATACTTCAATATATTACATAGGGAAAAGTGCTTACAATCAAGACTTCCTTGTATCTACTTTAAAACAAACAGACAAATAAATAACCCTGAATTATGCCAATATAAGGAAAAAATCCCTTGAATATTCAGAAAACATTCAACAATAGCAAATCATAACTTTCACTCCCTTAACATTTGCAGAAACTATAATTTAATTTTTATTGAGTACATATATTCAGGCAGATACTTTGGGACTCCAGGTTGATTCAGAGTCAATCAAGTGGCTTGCATGATTGTATTTGTCACTGCCATGTTGTTGACTTTTAAAGCTCTATGTCATATCACCGTATGTGAGTTGAGTGGCCAATAACAGTGAATCTATTTAATAAATAAATAATATTACTTAGTAAAAAAAATTATACTTATGCATACAACCTTTGAAAACCATTTGTTTTCCCTAAAGTAATGAAAGTATTCTGTGGATCTAGGTCAAGCTACCAATTGGATCCTTCTAGGCTGCACAGCAAATAATTAAACAGAAGAAATTAAACAGAAATATATCCAAGAAGTTAGAAGCGAGACATCAATTATGTATTTAATTATGTATTTTTAAGGTCAGAAAAACAAACAGCATTAATGATCAATGCCGCTTTTATGCAAATCTGACATAAAAGTGGTGAATTTAACGGCTTTATATTTTTAAGATTATTGGCAACTGTAAAACATTTCACAATTTTTTATCTAAATCACCATCAACATAAACATACACATTTTCTTTCAGCTGTTATTACTTTACCAAAAAAAATCTCTTTTAATCCTTAGGATCCCAGCAATAGAGAGTTTAATTTACACCTCAAACTGACCCCAAAAGTGTTACAAATAGACATACCACACAAACACTTAGCAATTAGTAAGAAAGCTTTTTAGTACTTTACTCATGAAGTACTTTTAGAATCTTACTATCTAAATATTGTTGGCTGGTGATCACAATAATAAAGATTATGTAATCTGACTGAAATCATTGTATAGGATCGGTGGTGGCGCAGTGGTTACAATGCACGATTGCAGGCTAACTCTGCCAGGAGTTCGATCCTGACTGGCACAAGGTTGATTCAGTCTTTCATCCTTCTAAGGTTGGTAAAATGAAGACCCAGATTGTTGGGGGCAATATGCTGTCTCTGAAAACCGCTTAGAGAGCCATAGTTTTATCCTGATTTGTTTAATAATAAAATTAATTTGAAATTGATTTGAAACTCTTCATTCTAATGGCAGATAAGAATGAAATGAGCATTTCTTAGTGGCTAGTACATTATTATGGAATTCTCACCTGAAGGTTTCCTCTTGGAGTTGTTCCAACTGTGTCTGGAGCTGTAAATGTCTTCGTCCTGCTGGACTGTTTGGGTCTTCTATGGAATCAGACTGATTTAAGCGTTCCATTAAGACCTGGTTCTCTGCTAGCAAACTACTTTTCTCTTCCTGCAATGCGGCAACCTGTAAGCAAAATGCAACAATAAATGCACCATGTTTGACCAAGAGCATACTTTGTAATACTATGAAAAAAACAGCATAGCACTTTGAATCAGAACTATGAGTTACCATGAAATATCCTTTGCCAGTACCATTTCCTTCTAGGACTAACAACTGGGGCTCATGTATTTGATTACATGTACAGTAGATATATTCTCTATCCATCCATCCCCACCTATACTCACTCACCTATACCTTACTGCTTAACCAAAATAATTTGGATGTAACTTCTTCTGAAAGTAAAATACCTTGAAGGATTCTTCTATTATTACTTCCATTATGAACTCAAGATTGCAATTCTATCTATAGTTAATTTGGAATTAATATTTTAATGAAACCAGAAAGATTTATTTGGAAACACTAAAAATTGATTTGTAATGATATTTTAAGAACTAGATTATATGAAGTTCCCCTAAAATACCATCATCATCACCATCACCATTAAGGATCAATTAAATGCAATTTAAATCTTCTTCACTGAAAGTCATACAGTATTATGCTGGTTCAGTACAAATTGGCAGATATGTTTTTCAATTTCCCAATCTAGGACTGAAAGACAATGACTCGCTCAAAGTCATTCATTCCTAAAAAAAAAAAGGATTAAAACTTGAGCCTCCCTACTCCTAGTCCAACCCTTAACTACTAAACCACACTGATTGTCTCTCTCTGAAAATGTTAGAGTATTATATAAATATTCTGTGGTTTTTCATAAGGCAATAAATCTACAACTATGTCCATGCAAGCCCATACTGCCAGGTATAAAACGCTATTCAAAACAATGATTTGAACTGGCTACCTTCATCTGATTCACTAAATTAAGATGAAGGAATTTGTAGCAATAAAATATAGTGCTCTGTCAGGTCAATTTCCCTTTTTTAACAGTATACACTCAATGATTGATTGATTGATTTTAAGTTATCAATAATGATGTTGTGTACCATTGGTTCTGACACAAACAAGACATTTGCTCCTCATGCATTGATTCTTTTTATGACCAACCCTAATTTATTGGTATACTTGAATAAAACAGACTTTGATTTGCTATGAATCAGGAAGAAAGTAGGGAGGCTTATGTAGGACACTATAAAGGCAGAGTTCTACTACTAGAAGTAATTCTACAAGATTTTTGAAGTCTGCTTGTTTGTTTAAAATAATGTATTCATTATTTCAGTCAACCTTACAGACTTGTTCACTTATGAACCAACCCAGCTCTTTCAACTTTCATAGGAAGGATTTGGGGTGTTTTGATAGGGTGACAATGAGCAAAGCAAAAAAACACAATGTGGGAACACTGTTATTAGGTGGACAGGGTTGTTCAGTTTCTCCCTGTTTGGGGTGATGATCTGCAGGAGTTTTCTTTGTTTTCTAACCCAGGTGTAGCATATGTCAGAGCACAAATTATCCTTTCTACCTCAGAATGAGAAATTATACAGTGGCTGTAGGTTCATAAAAAAAGCAGCTGAAAGCCTACAGACTACCTTCCCCTGTTCATGCAACATGGCAAATTATAGCAAAATTCTGTGCCTACTTGCATATCCAGTTCATGGCATCTCTGAGCAATTTCTTCTTTGGTTGCTAAGGCTTCATTTAATTCTTCCGTTGTTTTCTTCAACTGTGTTTTTAAATACAATATATTTATTAAAAATAGTGGCATGAAAAATAAAAAAAGAATAGGGATCCAAACGATTCATTTATCTGTATTTAAAATTATACATGCCCTCCTAATTTATTTTGACAAATTATCTGCAAAGCTTTCTGTTTCATGGAGATAAAACCTACCAGAATATTTTTCTATTGTGTGTGCATGGCAAAATCTTGCATCTTATGAGATATGTTTCTACCAGATATACTAATTAACTTTGGAGCCACAGCATCCAAGTCATACAAATCATGGAACAATAATATTAAAATATAATTGTAGTTAAGTTTCAATCATGTATCTCTGGGTGCAGCTCTAATGGAGGACAACAAGAGATGGCATCAGATTAGAGGTATGTCATCCTGGAGAAAATCTATCTATGTGGTCACTAAGCATCCACAAAGACTTGATGGTATGTAATTCATCAGGTAAATTGAGGCATTACAATCTTTCAATATAAGAAAATGTATTATACATAATGCTTTAAGCCTTACAAGCTTTCCCCTTAAAGAAGTAATGTGTTGATTTCAACTGTTTTTGTACATGGACCAAGAACGGAAATACAAGAAACAAAGATAAAATCTGCAAAGAGTGTTTGGCTATTATAACAAATGCTTATGAAAGCTATTATTTTGTTGTAAACAGTTCAACATCACAAACATTTTGTATCAGCAGTAAACCAGGAAAGGTGGCTTCTTTAAGGAAGAACTCTTACCAGGTCAGATTACTTGATCTAATCATCTCATTTCTGTCTAGTCTATCAGGTTCTTGCTCATTTTTAAGTAAAGAAATAAGGGACTCAACTGTATATCTGCATTAGAAGTATATCCATTCCAATTCAATGAAATACAAAATGTTTTTGATGTTGAACTGTTTACTATAAAATAATAGCTTGCATAAGCATTTGTTATAATAGCCAAACACTCTTTAATATGGCTTTAGATGTATCATATAGTAATCCTCAATTTACGATGACAATTGAGCCCAAAATTTATGTTAAATGAGAAATTTGTTAAATGAGGTTTGCCCCATTTTACAACTTTCCTTAACAGATTTGTTAAGTGAATCACTGCAGTTGTTAAGTGAATCTGGCTTCCCCATTGAATTTGCTTGTCAGAAGGTTGCAAAAGGTGATAACATGACCCTGCAACCATCATAAACATAAGTCAATTTTATCTTTGACTATGAAGATGCTGCAAAATAAATGTGAAGAATGGTCATAAGTCACTTTTTTCAGTGCCGTTGTAATTTCTAACGGTCACTAAATGAACAGTTGAAAGTCAAGGACTACTTGTCAAGCCCGATCTCCTGCTTGACAACACATATGGGAGGAGGAGAGGAGGCCATGGGAATGCGATCCAAAGATACAAACCTACTTGTGTAAAATAAAGGCAACTTAAGAACAAATAGTGTATCCAAAGCAGGCTTGATGTTGCCTCAAATGCTGGGAAATAATTCGGACATATTAAGTAAATTATTTTTGAAAAACATTAAACATAATTCCAAATTATTTCAAAGTTTAATTCTGTCTAATGAGAATAATGGCATGAAACATAGTCCCAATTATATTCAATACTATATTGTTGCATTATATTGAATAATGTATTAATGTACAGTGTTTAATAACATGAGTAGCATTTCTCTAAAATAATCAATTTTTTAAAGATATGAATTGGCAAAGAACCTGACTGCTAGTGTAAAAAGAGTCATAACATTTTTGAGATAAAGCCAGTTTAACAGTTGAGATGGCAGAGAAAGAAAACAATGCTACAAATGGAATTAACAATTTGATTTTATATGTAAAGAGACAATATGAAAAAATACTGGGTTCTTTTACTCAATGCCAGTAGTATCAGTTTTATAAAATCAGATGTTTTTGCATCTCCAGCTTGCCTCTAAATAGATTTCAAAATTTCTCACTGGACCTGATAAACAGACTATGCTTTGACCTCATTTCTGGTAATAAGATTTAAAAAAATCAAAATGTGGCATAACAGTGTCAAGGCTGCCTTTTGGCAATGATACTAACAGAATAATTATGTTACTTTATTGATGTTAATTACAACTCCTACAATTTACCAATTCCAATAAGAAACTAATTTGCTGTCTGCTTCCTTTACACTTTTCCAAATAAACTAAAGAAATAAACTGATTAAAAACAAAGCAAAATAGATGGGTGGCTCCAAAATTATGCAAATTGAACTCTACTAATAGTAGGAAAAACTAGCCGTAGGTGTTACATACCTGACGGTCAAGATCAACGTAACCATCATTTCCAGCAGTGACCGGAGACTCTTTACTCATCAACTGCAATAAGATCACACTGGATTAGAAAAAGCAAAAGACTCATTTGTATCTGTGTAAGAATTAAGGGCATTTAAAATATAAGGTACTATATTATGGGTGTTGGATATGTCCTTATTTAATCAAGAAAGCAATTTACATTTTATTGTTTGGGTCAACATAGCTAATTTTAGGGAGAGAGATAAGAATTAGAAACATTATTTTTAATATTTAAAAAAATGCTTGTCCTGGATATATAGAAAGCAATATTTCTATATTTTCATCTTAAAATCCCTTACTATTCCAGTACAATGTTCAGGTTAGGAAATATTAAAACTATACATATTATAACATCAGGATATACTGAAGGAATCTCACTTATTATTAAGTCAGTAATATATGAAAAACTTTTAAAATTTGACCCAAAGATGCTTTTTTTCAAGAGGCAACTGGACTTTCTGGTTTTTCTTTGAAGATGTTGAAGCACCTTTGGGACAACCATGACCTGGATGACTGAGAATCTCCACAGACTTCTAAGATTTGATTTTTGCCTTGTTTTGCTAGAAAGATATATATTTTAAACTAAGCAGAGGACACCACAGGTTTAAACTATGAAATAAGACTATTCATGCCAACAATATGATTTTTTTAAAAACACATGCTTACGCTATATTTTTCATATCTCAAAAACTATCCAAGATTATATTATAATCCACATTTAATAATGGTATGAAAAACATATATTGTTTTATTTAAAAAATGAATCCAAATTTGTCACAATAAATATTTTAAATATTTAAATATTTTCCTTATTCAAAAACAAAAAGATCTGATGACTATGCTCAAATGTTTTCTCCAATTTTCTTGAGATTAGTTCCTCCTTTTTTTGCTTCACTAAAAATTATTATAATTAATGCTTTATTTATTGAGGTACAAAACAATTCCTCCATCACTGCAGGAACTTTTTACTACTCTGTAACTTATTGCTACAAATACTTACACTGTTCATAAACTAAAGTTGCCATACAGAAGAGAAACAAATATTGTGATATTACCAAATATATTGCTATTCAGTAAGATATAGGATACATCAGAGTAATAAAATTAATTCCTCAGCTTTAAAAAAAATATCAATAAATGAAACTTGATTTGCAAATAGAAGGATTTCAAGTGGTGGTATTACTGAATGGCAATTGCAAACAGACATTCTAAAAGGAAGGAAGAAGATATTTTTGGAATATGTAGCAGTATATTATATTTATACTATGTAGAAGTATTCCACGAGAAGAGTGCTCCACTCCTCTGCTCACAATAGAATACCTTATGCCACCGGGCTTGAAGTTTTGAACTTGGACAATCTGGAACTACGCCGCCTATGGTCTGACCTAAGTATAGTACACAAAATTGTCTGCCACAATGGCCTACCTCTCAACGACTACTTCAGCTTCAACCACAATAATACATGGGCAAACAATAGATACAAACTCAAGGTAAACCGTTCTAAATTCAATTGTAGAAAATATGACTTCAGCAATAGACTGGTCAATGCCTGGAATGCTGTACCCGACTCCGTTGTTACATCCTCAAACCCCCATAGCTTCAACCTTAAACTGTGTACCGTGGACCTCACCCCATTCCTAAGAGGTCCGTAAGGGGACATGCATAAGCGCACCAGCGTGCCTACCATCCCTGTCCCACTGTCCCATTTATTTGTACTCATTACCTGTGTTCATGTCCATGTTTATACTTATATCTTTTATCGCGTACCTGTTTGACAAACTAAATAAAATAAAAATAAAAAATAAATATTCTGCTCTTGAAAATCTCGTTTTTCTACTTTCATTCATTTCAGAGAAGCAAGTGCCTGAACTGCACCAACATAGGGGCCTGGTGGCTCAGCAGACTGATAGCATTGTGATTAACACCAGCTGTCTGCAATTACTGTAAGTTCGAATCTCACCAGGCTCAAGGTTGACTCAGCCTTCCATCCTTTCTAAGGTAGGTAAATTGAGGACCCAGTTTGTGGGGGCAATAAGCTGACTTTGTATAAATATACAAAAGTATGAAGGCTATTGCTTAACGCATTGTAAGTCGCCCTGAGTCTCCAGAGAAGGGCGGCATATAAATCAAATTAAAAAAAAAATCTTTTGAATCCTTGGTGTTGATCCTCTACTATCACATTAGCGCGGGTTGGTTCTTAGAGATTTACTTAGTATACTACCTCTTCATCCCCATTCCCAAAAAAGTCCTATATAAACCTACTACTGCACATACTACAGGATTAAAGGAGCAAAAATAAAACAAAACCATAAATGTAAATATATAGCTCAGGATTGAACCGTTGGGCTATTGATGTTTTCTGAACTTGATTTCCTTCTTGCAGATATTTTATTACCAGACGAGGTAACATCGTCAGAGCTCTGAAGTGGGCACCTAATCACCCCAGCAAGCACCAGAGAATAGCAGGGCATCAAGAAGCAGCAATAAATTCATCCTGCTCAAACTGATACATGCCTGGTAAGATAAATTGCAATATATAAGCAGAAAACAAAGTCAATGTCAGAGCACTGATAATGTTATATAGCCTGATAATGAAATGTATCCAAAAAGAAGAAAATAAAGTTCAGAAAAGACATATAGAATATTTTTTTTTCTCTATGCATGTAATTTTGGAGGGACAATTCCATCAGCCATCTTATACCAGTTTGCAAGTCTTTTTTTTTTTAAAATGGAAATTTTGAGAGTCAGTTTGAGAGCAGAGCTAAGCCATGAGACAGTGTGCTGATCAGTTGTTTGGCAGCATGGTAGCAGCCTGTTCCAAAGGTGCTTTTTCAAGAGGCAAGTGGACTTTCTTCAGTTGTCTCTTGAAAAAGCACTTTTGGGATAACCATGACTTGGATGAACTGAGAATCTCCATAGACATGATAGCAGCAATGCAGCCAGCAAAGCTGGTTGTTATTCATTTGTCAGCACACCACTCAGTATGTCCCAATCAATTCAGTGATATTTACTCTCAGGAAAGTTCACAAAGATTTTCCAAGTTATTAAGCCTTCCCTATTTCACTAATAATAAAGAAACTCAGTCGTTAAAATATCTACTGCTAAATATCCTATTTAAAGGTTTGTTGGAAATTAATAGGAAAGGGAATGTAAGTGGGGGACCAAGTATTAACTTTCAGAAATGTAAATATTCTACATGAAAGCAAAGTGGAGCATACCATTAATTTATGTTTAAAAATATTTCATCTATCATCTGATCAAATTTGTGAACTGTTAAAGATTCACATAGTATGAATTCTGGAAACCAGTTCCGCTATATAACTAAGATATGTGTCTTTTAACTCCTTACCTCCTGAATGGCTGTCATGACCACATGTTGAACAGATTCCTCCATCATCATGATGGTCTGAATATATTCTGTAAGAGAACAGTTGTAATAATTCATGCATAGAAAGTAATCATTCATGCTTAGGAAATTCAGAAAGATATATAGTCCAACATACCAACCATACTAAAATGTTCATTTTTTCATTTAGTATGGGTAAATTTTTCTCTTTTAACGTATGCATGATCTCTTTTAATGTATGCATGACAAAATAAACGTTCTTCAAAGGGATTAATTTTAAGCAATAATAGGGAGACTATCTCTCTACCACAACTATGTTACTAGCCCTGATACAATACTAATACAAATCCATGCATAGGAATTGAAGAATGCATACTTCAAGTGAGGAATGCCTGAGTAAATTAAAGTTCATTTTGGCTCACAATGAATTCTTTTAATGGGCTTTTAGCATTACATTTAATTTCTATTCTTTCATATTTGCATTCTGTATTTTAATTATTGTTAGCCCTTTTAAGTATTCAGATAAGTAGAAAGGTGAGATATAAAGTAAATAAACAAAGATACATAAATGTCTCAATTATTATTATTTTGCATTTCTCTATGCAAGGGGATAGTAGGACTGAAGAACCGAAACTGATTAAAAGAAGTCTCTTATAAGCAAGTCTAATACACTTCACTCCTAGCAGTTAATTATAGATGTGTTATTTAATAAAAACCACAAAAAGTGGCACAGCAGAAGCAATAAAGAAAATTAAAAAGCTCTGCAGGCATATCTTTCCATCTTTTAAAAACACAGATGTATACAATCAATCCATCCCATTCCCCCTTTGAATATTTCATAAAAATTGTTCCTAAACTTATCAAACCTTGATTGTAGCTGGGCATGCAATTATCAGTTGTGACAGTCATGACTGTGTGGACAAGTTCCAGTTAGCCTTGAGCACAGGCCGTATCATGTTGCAAAATCAGTTTTAAAGAAACAACTGAGGGAAGCAAAATATAAATGTCTATATTGTCAAAAAGAATTATTCTACAGCATATTCTTCAGTTCACTGAAAGATGTAGCTGTAAGCAGTTAAGTGACAAATTTACCTTTCCAACATTCATTTTGGTGATCCTAATAGAAAAAGTGCTCAACAGAATACAAAATACTTTCTGGTTTCATGTGAAAATAGGAGATACAAAACATCTAACAAATCTTTTCCTATCTATATACTGCCTTCCAACTATGTCAAGAGTACAATTTCCAAAATAGCATACCTTTTGGAGACTAATTCCAGGAAATACCATCTAAATATAAGGTTAAATATAAGATTGTAGCAGGCAGTACTGTTTATTAATACACATATTTGATTTATATCTCACCTTTCTGCTTTGGCAAGCAGTTAAACAGAGTTAGTAACAGAATACAATACAGCAATATTTTCTATAGCACAGACCAAATCAATATATTATGAGAGCCTTTCAACTCTTTAGTCATCATTAAGTATCCTACACCACTATTACATTTTATTTCTGCTTCATGACAATGAAAAGACCAGTAATTTGTGTGGAAATCAGCAAAAGGAATATGGAATGCAAACAATGAAGCAATGAAACCCAGGCTCAAAAGCAGTAATTGTGAGAGGGACCTTGGAGTCCTAGTGAATAATCACTTAAATATGAGTCAGCAGTGTTCAGCAGCAGCAGCCAAAAAAGCAAATACAATCCTAGGTTGCGTTAACAGAGAGATAAAATCAAGATCATGTGAAGTACTAATACCGCTTTATAAAGCCTTAGTAAGACCAGACTTGGAATATGCATCCAGTTTTGGTCACCATATTATAAAAAAGATGTTGAGGCTCTGGAAAGAGTCAGAAAGGACAACAAAGATGATTAAGGAGCTAGCGGCTAAAACATATGAGGAACGGTTGTAGGAATTGGGTTTGTCTAGTCTAGTGAAAAGAAGGAGTAGGGGTAACATGATAGCAGTGTTCCAATATTTGAGGGACTGCCACAAAGAAGAGGGGGGTCAGCCTAATTTCCAAAGCACCAGAAGGCAAGAAAGGAAACAATGGATGGAAACTAATCAAGGAGAGAAGCAACATAGAACTAAGAAGAAATTTCCTATCAGTGAGAACAATAAACCAGTGGAATGGCTTGCCTTCAGAAGTTGTGGTGCTTCATCACTGGAGGCTTTTAAGAAGAGACTGGACAGCCACTTGTCTGACATGGTATAAGATTGGACTAGAAGACCTCCAAGGTCTCTTCCAACTCTGTTATTCATAGTATTTAGAGAAATGAAATGTAATAAAAAATAGTGATATCAAGCACAATAAATCAGTAAGGCCCAGACATGTAGAAATGGGAAAGATGTGCTCTTTTAAACCAATGCTATGAATGACTGAAAAATCAATCTGAAATGATTCAGAAGTGCTTTGAATGTAGGCAAGCATAGCACTTCTCAAGTAGTCATTACAGCAGTCTGATTAAAAAAAAAGATGCTGCTGCTTTAAGGATTTCCATGTAAATCTTAAAGCACCAATGCCTTTTTCTCAAGTTGGCTCACTACTGACTCATTCTGGGTCAAATAGAAGACATTAAACTAATTTTCAATTTTTTTAACACTCATCAAAGAAACTGGGAAAAAAAACAATGCCAATGATGTCTGTGTTAATAAAACAAACAAAAGCTGTATATCCAGTTTGAATAACGTACCATTTTAATAAAATACCAACTAACCTTGTTTTTGTTCACAGTTTACAGCACAGCCTAAAATAAGCTGAAGCATTCTTCCAAGCTCTGCTGCATCAGAGTGTTCCCCAATCAAGTTAACATCAGGAAGGATAAAATCATTAATTTGTTGCCCCAAAATCTGTGCAAGGATAAAAAATATATATATTAACATATTTCCAGGTTTCAGGGCCTAAGTAAACAGAATTGCAGGATTCTGGAATCTAATGAGAGGAAATTGTATTATTCATTCTGTAAACTACCAGCCAGATGCATAAATCATTCCTTCCTGAATTCTGCAAATCCAGTTTGCTAAGCAACTAACAGAAAGCTTTTGTTTCTATGTCTCTGACATATCTATCTCCTATTAATAACATCTGTATCCCCATACCAGACATCTAGCAAAGCTCTCCAGCTGAGAAGTCAAAATGGTTGGGTTGTTCTTAAATGGCTCAAATCTAGAAGTTCGCTTATCTTTACAGTACATAGCTGATGCTTCATGCTATTCATTGCATACAATGCTTATTCAGGCCCACTAATGTATAGAGGGTTTGGCTGAGACACATTTGCTCAAGGGGACTAAGCACAATTGCACAAGAGTGGGCATTAACACCAAATCCTTTTACTTGTAATTCAAACAAGCAACATTCTTTAGGTGTAAACCTAATTCAAATAATCTCTTTTAACATAAGTACTAAAGCATTTTTTAAACAAATACTATCAAGATAAAAAAGATCTTCTAGAACCATCTCTCCAAGAATAGTTCCATCACCCATGAAAAATAGTAAACATGGGACATTTTGATTTAGAACAATTAATATATAGGGGTTTCTCCTCTAAAATAAACATCAGAGTAATGATTTACTACAACACTTTACCAGAGAGTGAAATCAGAATGGAGTATGTAAATATTTAAAGTGAAAAGTTTCCCAATGGAAGCATTCAGAATTCCATTGGGGTTTTTTCTATGACACAAAATGATCAACAAAAGCCATTTTTAATGCATCTAACTTATTTCACATTTCTTTTAGGAGACAGGAAATTTTATTTCACCAACAAAAATATGTAGCCATTCTAGCCGATTAAAATTAAGGACAGATCACAGAACAGAACAAAAGTGTCATTTTATATATTTACCATATTTGTAAAACCAACTACTTTTTATTAAGAATTCTATTAAATGTGTTCAAGATCATCTTCATTAGACTGGTAAAGTATATATCAAAGAATTCATCAGCTTTCAAAACAGGCAAGCCTGCAATAAATGTATTTATAAAAAATGGCAAATGCCCACAAATGGCAAAATGCCCTTGCAAATTGTAGGCAAGGTATTTTTTAAAAGAGATCTAAAATCTTTGAAACAATTATAGTAAACTAATCTACATATTATACTCAAAGAAAGGAATATATCACATATAGGAGTTCTTACTTCATGGTTGTAATCCAAAATTCCTTTTAAAATTTTCTTCAGATTGCTCACCTTAGAGTGAAAGAAAAACAATTATTTTAAAAAAAGAATTATCCTAAATTACAATTAAAATGGAAGTTTACAAGAATTCATTATAACTTAAACCAGGAGAGGAGTTTTTTGTGTTTTGTAGAGGGGTTTGCCAAAAAAGCCAATTACAAAAATCACAAAATAATGATTCCATACTTTTCTGATTTTAGATTCTGTTTGATCACAGGAATACAAAAAAATCATCACAAGTGATTGTTTATATCTCTGAATTTGGATTAGTATTCCCATACAACTGTGTTTAATAATTATTCAAATAAAAAATATTTTGAATATCCCTATGAATACAAAATACATAAAGGCAAAGATTCAAAATCATATATTTACTGGAATTAGTATAACTTTCAAAATTAGTAGTTGTTTCTGATGGTGGGGGAGCATCATATTTTTAGGCACATGAAAGCTATTAGATATGCCCAAAAATATGATTTCATTTAGGGTTTCTTTGTTCCATTTTTTAAATGTTTCAAACCATCCTGAACAAATCCATGAAAGTTTATTATTTTTATAATTTGAAAACAAGATGTGAAGATATTAGTACCCTTTGCTTTCAATTTTTAAACATTTCTCATTATAAACTAGAAGCTACATATGAATTCCTCAATTTTTTATAAAAAGTAATTCCAAGTATGACATTTTTGGCAAAGTGTCAAGACCAATGAAAGGGAATTCAGTATTGTAACAGCAATCTAGCAACTGAAGGAAGCAAACTTTCTGCATAAACATGAGAGATTTCAAGCAAGCTCTTTTTAACTTAAACAAAAGAAAAATATGGTGCCAATTTAGGATGTGGTCTTGAGTCTCAAATAATAATAAAAGAAGTCCAAGTCCACCCTGATATTGGATTGAAAACAATGAAATTAAGAATTCAAATTAAATAATATTTTTGTTGCTCTCTGGAGGTCATGAGATTCATTACAATTCATATATCTTAAGTCTGTAATGTTAATTATTCTTTCCAGTACTGCATCCTTCAAAATCCTTTAAATCAAAACTTCGTTCCATTACTATTTAGTTAGCTTTTAGATTGACATTTTGTGTTTTGTATGTAAGTTCTACAAGCCACTAGAATCCTGGTTTCAAGTGACAGGCAAATCCCATAAGTAAGTAAGCAAACAAGCAAACTTTGTAATGAAACAACTATGTTTTGCTCTTCTACTCTGGGGCTTCCCGCCCTGGAAAAAAAACCCAGCAAATTCTTCCTTGCAGAAAATAAACAGACAAATGCATAAATAAGAAGTAAAACAACACACAGTCAAAGGATAAACACGTCTCAGGTAGCCTTCAATTAAATTCAGATGTCTTTGGGTCACCCAACAGCAATATTTGTTGTATAATTCTATGTCTATCTAATAAAAAAATGCCACATGAAGATCACTATTTGTTTCATAACATGCTGAACGGTGTTTAATACAGCTGAAGAAGAATGTGTCAGCTTGTCTCAACCATATAATTATTGTTTGGGCCATGTTCACAATGATTCTTAATTAAATATAGTTTCTGAAGATTTAAATGCATTAGCAGCGCTAATAATTTTACATGTTGGGCTTTAATCTTTTTGTTAGTTTTTTCCATTTTTATTGTCAAATGTGGTAGCGAATATTTCAGCATTTCCTACTGATACAAGAGAACCTTAATTTCCCCAGAATTTGATTTTGTGTCTCAGAAGGACTTAAATGTTATTACATGGAAACAAGAACCATCAAGAAAATTTTAAATAAATCATGAATCATCACAAAACCAGATTAAACAAAAAAAGTAATTTATGTGTACAATGATCTGCTATGGCTAAAGATCTGCCAAGAAGCAATTAAGCAAAGATTCAGCAAAAGCTTTTCAGACTTTAAAATCAATAAAGACAGAGTACTGAATGCAAATGTGCAGCACTCCCTTCCCATTGCATGATTTTCACTAGTCAAGAGGAGTCTGGGACTTGAGAGAAGCTCCCATTTTACCTCCACATCTGCAGGTAAGACTGAAAAAGACTTCAGTGGGAAGCAATTTTTGGCTTTTGCCTTCTGCAAAACTGTACTGCAAACATAAAAAGGAATAATTTAACATTTCAACCTATGCTAGAGACCTTGGTCAACAACAAATATCCTATCATTAATGTTTCTTCTATACTTAAGGCAGTTTATTTCAAATTCAAATTGGGTCTTCTGACAGAATAAAACAAGCTCTATTTGATAAGGTATCCATATCCGCTTTCTCATGGACAAATATGGTTAATCAACTAAGTAAATATTTTGGTTTTATCATGGGACACCAGGCTTGAAAAAGCCAGTTGATAATAGAATAAATTTATGTAAGAAACAAAACGCTTCTGAAAATCAATTCCGTAACTTTGTAGATTAGGGCAGGATAAAAATTATGTAAATAAATAAAATATATTAAAATATGCTCCATTTGAAATTTTCAAATAATGGTACTACATGGGGGCAGCTATGTTATCAGAAGCCTCGATAAGTACTATTGATGGGGGGGGGAGCGGGTCATATCAATTATCTCCCTTCCTTCTTTTATGCAGTTTTCTTCTCCATACCAAAAGCCCTGGGAGAGATTAATAAATAAAACTACTAAGACCTTATGCAAATGCAGATTTTTCATAATTAAATAATTATTTAATTATTTCATAATTAAATTTTCATTTATCAATCATGGGGGGGAGCGGGTCATATCAATTATCTCCCTTCCTTCTTTTATCAATTATCTCCCTTCCTTCTTTTATGCAGTTTTCTTCTCCATACAAAAGCCCTGGAGAGATTAATAAATAAAACTACTAAGACCTTATGCAAATGCAGATTTTTCATATTAAATAATTATTTAATTATTTCATAATTAAATTTTCATTTATCAATGTTGTCAGGCATGACCAACCAGACCCAAATGTGTAGACTATAAACTAGCTACTTTATTACTGAAGCCTATTTCAAAGCAATTTTCTCAGACTGACAATTTGTCCCTGGGAAAGACTAATTAAGGTTCAACGGCAATCAAGTGGGGATTGTACCTTACCCTCTTGTGTATACTTAATAATTACAGACTGCTCCCCTGTTTGACCGCACCTCCTGACTGGGAAAGCTCTCTCCAACAATGTGAAGTCCTTTAGATCCTTGCTTTAATACAAGTGATGTCTTATAGCTCATTTTTTCTTATTCATTTTAATTGGATATCAGTATACCATAGTCCCACCCAGACTAGATAAAGCAGAATGAATTTAAAATCCCACAAAGAAAAATTATTTCTGTAAGAAAATGCTATATATATGACATGAAGTAGCGTGGGTTTAAACTAGAAGCTTCAAATAATTGACAATAAAGAGTTATTAAATATTTAATAATGCTTAAAATTGAATAGACATTTTATTGTTTTTTAATAGAGTCCTAACTTGAATTTTGCAGAATTGTATGCAAAACAAAACAAAATAAACAGTTGTGGTAAATTGACCAAAAAACCAATGTAATAATTAAGCAATAAAAATACCTTCAATCTCCAATTGTCTCCTACTTCTCTTTTTATTCTATTTAGCCAATTTTCATCAAAATATGTTGGATCTCTGAAAAAATAAAAGCAGGATATTTTGTTAAAAGTATTTTCTTTCAATCTCTCTCTACACACACACACACACACAATACCATGTCTGCTTACACAAAATTATAAGTTTATCAACTAAAAATCCTGTAATTCTGATATTTAAAAAATGGCTTTTACGGTATATTCCATGGCAATCAAGATTATTTGGAAACAGTTTCTAGAAATTTGAATAGCAATGACTTAAAAATATTTTCATATAACATGAAGTACAGAACACTCACATTAAATATAAATGTTTACATTTTATTATTAACCCACCTTTTTTATATTCCAAAATATTTGATAAATTAAGAATATTTTTCTTTTCTATACCAAATTATATAAATCATTCACAAGTTTATAGTTATTTAAGTCCTACCTGTAATCCTATTCCTATACAGCTAGCTATTCAAGTTATCTTTAACATTTAATTGATATCAGAGTATAAATTTCCAATCAAAATCTATTATGCACTTGTAGAATTCATATAATAAATTATCTTAAGCACTGTCTGTAATTCTCTTTGAAAATTATTTATTACAAAATTTTATATTTAACAAAAGCATAAATCAGAATTCACAATTTCCCATAAATCATGGTTCACCAAAGCCAGAGCAATTACTTTTAATTGACATGTTATACATATGCAAACATAAAATAACAATTCCAGATATGAGAAAATGTGATACATCCTTCTGTTAATTTAATATTTGAATTTTTCAGTAATTTATTCAAGAAGAATAATTGACCATACTTTAGCAAACTATTTTTTAATTGTTATCAATAAATTTCCACTGCTGAGTTATTATTAATTGGATGAAAGTAAAATATAACAAGTTCCTTATTATATAATTTAATAGTATATTTCATTTCCTTGTTATATAATTTATCCTAATATGATTCATCTTTTTATAAAATAACATCCTTTACTCACATCTGAGGTCTACTTTTAGCATATAGAAAAACTCATGCACCCTACCTCAAGAGCTTGTTTTTGAACAAGTAACTTCTCTGACTTAAAAGTGGGAAAACCAGTTTAGGTATTCATACAGAACTGTCCAAGACAGGGGTGGTATTATTTACTTTCCCTACCAGTTTGCAAATGTGAGTGCACGCCCCCCCGTCCATGCATGCTCCCGGCCTCCCATGCATGTGCTTTGCTGGCCCGCGCACCTTCTGTGCATGTGCCTGGCCTTAAAAACATGCATAGAGCCGGGGCGGGTGGGCAGGCCCACCTGCGATTTCCGCTACTGGTTCGGGCAAACCGGTCCAAACCGGCTGAATACCACCTCTGGTCCAAACTATCTTTTCTGTACCTAGGCTCTTATGGGTCAAAGGATTCTATTTATACCATTATGCCTTGGCACACAATTTAAGAATTGCTGATATAGTACTTTTTGGGGGTATGCCTTTCTACACCTACAAAAGCTGTTTCATCCTACTATTTGATTAACAAGTTGAAATGTTAGTTGTAGAAGCATGGGACAAACTGGAATTGTCTTTCCCCTAGACATTCTTTTTAAGTTATTACATTCACAGTTTCCACGCAAATACATGTATTTAAATGCATATTTGGAAAAACACATTTCATTGTGCTCACATTTCCCTAATTGTAAGATAGGAAGTGAAATTTCCCTTAACACATGAACCTCTAATCAATATTACTAGCAGAAGTAGAGCACAACTATATTCCATTAATGAATATAATCATGCACTCTTGAATTTGATATAACAAAGTTTATTAATGTTGGTCACCTTAAGGTTGTATCTTTTGAAATAGCTGGGTTTACATATGCTAAACCATGATTTATTTTAATCATGGTTGTTGGAATAACATCAATGAATGAACTAACCTATTATACTACATAATAATGTATAACAAACTCTGCTCCGCCTGACTTGCCATACTTAAAATTGACACTATTTTTCTGATGCAGAAAACTGAATATGAATAAACCATTTATTTACAAAAAAAATCATCTTACATCTTTTGAAGTACTTGAGCCATCACAACTCCATTTGTTAAATCTTCTACAGTCTGGCATGGTGCTTCAACATTAAATGTCTGGATCTTGAGGAGAAAGAAAGTTATATTTAGTCAAGCTATCTCAAATGCATTACACCAATACATCAAGAGATTTCAGAAGTTGTACAAAGAGCTGCTGGAATAAGTGCCAAAAGTATACAAGTTAAACCAAAGAAATAAATACAAGATCTTGATGATTATTGACATTGTAATTAATGAATGGGTGAATTTATTTCTGTAAACTTGAAAGACCCTATTTTAGCATCACATCTATACGAAAGCAATTCTTTCTTTGCCCTTTAATTAGATTCAATGGATTAAATATAGTATAAGTAATATGTGTAAAAGCAACATTTGAAAATATTTATTCATAAACTACCTTCAAAAACCACTAATACCTGAAAAAAATATACAAAAATCACGATTAGTTATAAATCTTCTCTAAGAAAATGAAGCTCAATTCAAAGGAGACTTTTTAAAAATATGTCCTTTGTCTATTTGAACCGAATGTTCTTCATCTTTTTGCCAATTTTTTTGCTATAAGAATTTCATCAGGGTAGTGTCTGCTCAGAAATTACTGAAGTGTTAATTGATTATTCCCCAAAGAAAGAAAATCACAAATATCTGCATAACAATAAAGCAGTTATGTAGCAGTTTAATGGTTTTTCAGAAGCAACATGGAATTTGGCCTTTCCTATCGTAAAAAAAAAAGTGTGGGGGGGGGAGACAAGAGAGGACAGGCTATTCTCTTCTTCCTATATTTCTATGCCAAAAAGAGAAAATGCATTTTACAAAATAGTCTGGAAGAGGGTGAAAGAAGCTAATAATCAATGGCAGCATACTTAGCTTCCCCTCCAAAAATGAACTTTTGTGAAAGCCCCACCCTCTAATGAACCAGTCCTCCATTTTACTAGATTATAAACTTTTTTTGCCATTCAATTTGTTTCTAGTTCTATTCTTAATCCCAAACTGCAAATGAAGAAGAAACAACTAGAATATTTAAGAGGTCTACTTCCTTTTATTAAGCAGATGTTAAGGAATCTGTCTAGTAACTCATAAAAATGGAGGCACTGCAGCATCATTGATTTGATTTGTTCTTCAATAACTTTTGACTGTTATAAAGCTGAGTATAAAACAGAAAAATAATAATAATAATTGACAATGTTATTAATGATTTTGAGCCAGTCACTCTCTCTCAGCTCAACTTATTTCACAAGGTTGTTATTATGGGAAAATAGGAAGAGCGAATATTATATATGGAGACTTCAGTCGTAAAAAATTAAGATGGGGTAAAGTTAATAAACAAGCAAATAAATGGTCAGATATTGCAGCTAGGCTTATTTTACAACTACGGTATCTATCTCGTTGACTAAAGTTCAAGAGACTAGCGAAATAATCAAGCTGAGAAGAAGTCTGAGGAAGAATTGGGGGAAATAGTGATCTCGTGTTATGATGAAATTAACATACATCCACTAAATGGAATTCCAACACATAGGGGATATAAACTTGGTAAGGTGTACAGTGGTGTTTAAAAAAGTTAACATTCTGAATGTTCAATATTTCTACATAAATATGACCCAGAACGCTATCTGTTCTCTACACAAGTCCTAAAAGTAGGTAAAGAGAGCACAACGTCAAAAATATTATACTTTTTCATTTTTTCATTGAGGAAAATTATCCAAAGCTATGTACTTATGTCCAGCAAATGTATATAAATCTTTGCTTTCAAGTACTGGTAATTGATATGTATCCCCATTGGGTAGCAAAATCTGCTATATTTCTGATAACTGTTGATCACATTATCTTTGAGGAATTTTAGCCCATTCCTCTTTAGAGAAAATTTCAACTCTGGGATGTTGGCAGGCTTCCTTGTATAGAAAACAAATAATGTTAGATTACATTTATGCAGAAATATTGAAAATTCCAAAGAGCTCAGAAACATTTAAGAACCTTTTTATGTGCGCAGATGTGTACGTGTCACAAACCAACAGAAGAACTAAAACTTGATTACAGCCATTTGATTGACTTCAATATTTTTTAAAATAAAATATTCAAAATATCTATATAACAGAATAACAGAGTTGGAAGGGACCTTGGAGGTCTTCTAGACCAAACCCTTGCTTAGGCAGGAAACCCTACACCACTTCAGACAAATGGTTATCCAATATCTTCTTAAAAACTTCCAGTGTTGGAGCATTCACAACTTCTGGATAGTTGGAAGTGGAAGTTATTCCACTGATTAATATATGGGTTGATCAGTGGAATATAATATCCACTGATTATATAAATCAGGAGTGTAAAACTCAAGGCCCGGAGGCCAGATCTGGTCTGTGGAGTGCTTAGATCTGGCCCGCGGAGCCACCCTGGAAACAGCAAAGGACTGGCCCGTGGTGCTTCTGCCAGCAAAAATGGAACTTGGGATGGCCATCGGTGGTCCTCCAGAGTTCTGTTTTCACTGGCAGAGGGTTGCAGAAGGCTGTCGCAGTCAAAAACAGAGCTCGGGAACCCATTTTCGCTGGCAGAGTGCTTGGGCTTACAGGCACCCCCAACACAAGTTACATCGAGCTGGCCACATTCACCCCGGGCCCCCAAGGTCAAACACAACCCTGATGAGGCCCTCAATGAAATCGAGCTTGACACCCCGATATAGAGCATCTGTATGAGCCTAAGAAAATAAATGATTCAATATAATTCCCAATTTAATTCCCATTAAATACCAACATTAAAACATACCCTTCTGGATTATAAATCCTCGACCTTCAACCATACTTGAGCCTAAAATTTTTGTTGCTAAGCGAGACATTTGTTAAATGAATTTTGCCCCATTGTACAACTTTTCGTGCCACAGTTGTTAAGTGAATCACTGCAATCATTAAGTTAGTAATACAGTTGCTAAATTAACTGGCTTCCCCATTGACTTTGCTTGTCAGGTGGTGGCAAAAAGATCACACGTAACTGAGACACTACAACCATTCTAAATATGAACTAGTTCTCAAGCATCCAAAATTTGATCATGTGACCATGTGGATGATGCAACTGTGGTAACAGTAAAAAACAGGCACTTTTTTCAGTGCCGTATAACTTGAAACAGTTACTAAATGAACTGTTGTAAATTGAGGACTACCTGTACTTATTTTTTGTTGAATTATGAAATTTAAACATCTTTGGATCAAAATACAGTAACTGTATCTCAAACAATTCTGAATTGCTAATACTATATACAATTGCATGAAAACATTTGGACAGCCCTAGTTTAATTGTATGTTTCAAGGAATTCTTAAGTGAAGAAATGCTGACACAACCGGCATGTGGTACTTAATAGGATATCTTTCTGAAAATTTGAATATACTTGACATATACAATTGTTCTCAGCACATACCACTGAAAATAACTTCTTTTAATAGAAACAGGAATACTTTGTATAATGGCATATAAAAGTATAAACAGTGATATGTTTGCAAATTTACTTAAAAGGCAATGTTTCCATATTGAGATTTTCCACCTCCGGAGACCAAAAATATTCAATCAAAATCCTTTTTTAAAAAACCAGGAAATTAACATGCTGTAAAAAGGAGAAACATTTTTAGCCTGCTTATGTTCACTTAAATGCTAAATGGTTTTATTTGGAAATGTTTTAACTGAACAAGCCTAGTTGTCCTACTGCCCATTTAATCCACTCTAACCAGTTTTTGCAATGTTCACAAACAGGTTAGGACACTTGGGTGGACATGAGAGGTTTTCTGAACATCTCAACTACAGGTTTAATATATTTTGTAGCACGTAGCTGACTTTGGTACATGTCAAATTGTAAACAAGATCAGCCCTGCTTATTAATGGATGGCAGAATTACTTCTGAACCCCATGGTTGTAAGTTAGACTGGTAAGTCAAATGAAAAAAAAACTCTTAGAAGAAAATAAATGACAAAGCACTTCTGTAACATTGCCAGAAAAACTGCATCATGTAATTACTGTTCCATGACTCAAACTTAGCTCTCTTAATCTAAATAAGTTTTTGGTAATTTTGCAGAATAATTCTCCTGTAATTAATTATAATCCTTTTGAATAAAAATTCTGAAGTTATTTTTTATTATAACTATCAAAATCAAGCAAAACTATTACAAAATGGAATAGGTTTTTTTTTTTTTTTTGCTGCTGCATGCTACTTGGACTTAGCAATATTTTGATAATTTTATTGCTATGAGCTGCCTTAAAATCAAAGGAAGTAATATCGTCCATTATTTATATACTAACATTTTCCACAAAATCAATAGTGCCAACATGAACAGGTACAGCAAAGCCTTTCAGACATCATATTTGTAATGCAATAAGACATGTTTTATCTGATCAGAAATGACTTGAATGGTTTATATTTCTTTCCTCCTCATTCTACCTTTTGTGTAGTCTCTCTATTTCCTCAGCACAATAGATCCAATTTTTTTGTGGAATCTGAACTAAAAAACTCAGAAGTTCAAAACTTACTCAGTGCATTTCCTAGTTTGGTCAATGACACATAAAATTTCCAAATTAAAACAGAAAAAAGAGAGTGTACAGGATCCATTCTCAATCTAATAAATCGGGAGTTTTCAAACTTTTTCAGACTATGGAATTTGTTCCTTAAAAATTTTTTTCAGAACACTTGACAAAAAGGCAAAACTCTAAGAGATAGAAAATGACATCCATTCTAGTAAGCAGAGTAATTTTTTTTTACCTTTAGTCTTTCTCAGAACCCTGATATGTTCGCTAGGATACTACAGAATCCAAGTTACTAGAGTTCCACAGAACAGTTTGAAAACCCCTGCAATAAACCATGATGTACTAGAATTTTTTTATTACATCTGAATTGGGCTTCTGTTTCTTGTTACTGAGACACACAAATGGCTCTTTTAGACTGTTACTATGCTAAAAGTCAACTTTCAAAACCTATTTCACTACTGTATGAAAAAGAATGCACAAAAAGTTGCAGATAATATTAATTCTGTGTATCTGCTTCTTTGGATGCCAGGCCATAATGCCAAACACCAGTAATAAAATAATAAAAAAAAAATATTTTGAACTACTGAGTCCTGAACAATATTTGAGAATTAAAGACTATGACAAAGATAGCTCAAGTTAGGAAATACGTTGATCAGACCTTTTTTGTGAATTTTAATTGCTACCAGCAAATTATTTCTGCACTGTGTTATTTTCTATCGTATATTATGTACTGTATGCTACTATAAATTATTTTTTATATTCATTAACCATTTAGAAATTAGTATGAAATTCCTCGATATTTTAATTTCTATCCTATCTTGGATATGTTTTTAAACAATACAATTTCTGCAGTTAAAATTAATACACATAACGAGAAATCTGAAAATATTTTCCAAACATTTTGCTACAGTTATATTTGTTACTGTACCCAAATATGTAAGACTTCAATTCTGGGTCAAATAATGATACATTATAACAATATTGCCTGAAAATTTGTGAGTTACCTATTATACATTATTTCAGATTAGCAAGCCTATGAGCAATATCAAACCAGTCAAAATAATTATTGATTTTACATATGACAACTTTCTAGGGTATTATATGGAAATACTTGAAAATCTGATTTATTTGAGGGCTTGGCTTCAGTGCAGAATTTACATTACATACTTTTTTCCAAACCTGGATAACCAAAGGATCCATTCACAATAATGAATGTGGAGCCTGAGAAATATATTTAATGCTAGTGTTTTGTGTCTGAATTAAGCTCTTCAGAGGAACCATAAGAAATTTGGTAACAGTTGGCTCTCGCTATATAAAGTAGTATAAAAAAGTTTAGTACTATTTTCATCATATCTACAAAATAGTAACATTTTATTTTAATTAAGTTATAAGCAGGTTTAATTAATAATTACAAGCTTTACTTTTTCTTCTCAGAAATTGCACTGCTTTTGGTTTTAAGAAAGGAAAAAAAATAGTGGCCCATAAGACAGCTGATATTTTTCCTACAAAGGCTAACTTTCTAAGTAGGCCTCAAAATACTGGGATGGGGATGGAGCTTCCATCTACATAATGTTCCTTGATCACTCAGTTTTCAGTACTGAATATTGTTGACTCGTTCTAGTCCAGCTGTGGGAGTTAGCAATGCGAGGTACAATGCTTCAGGGATTCACCTCCTTCCTTAGCAGTCGTTTCCAGTTGGTGTTTGCAGTGGGGGGAGAGATCATGTCCGTAAACCCACATTTGTAGGGTATGTCAGGACTCGACCCTCTACTCTCTCCTGTTCAACATCTACATGAAACCATTGGGTGAGTTCATCTGCTAGTTCAGGGTGATCATTCCTATGCTGATGAAACCCAACATTACATCTTTATCCTGACAGCGCAGTTGAAGCTGTCAGTATATTGACCCAGAGCCTGGAAGCTGTTCAGGTCTAGACAGGACAGGACAGACTTTGGCTCAGCCCTACAAAACTGATTGGCTGTGGCTGTTTGGATCCCCTAGGTTGTGGATGTTAAGACTGGTGTGCAACTTGGGGATCCTTCTGGCATCGCAGCTATGACTTACAGTTGGTGGCAGCAGTGATCAGGAGGGCCTTTGCAACTGGTTCATTTTGTGCACCAGTTGCACCCTTGTCTCAATCATGAGGCCTTTCCGACATTGACACATGCCTTGATCATCTCTCAATTAGATTACTGCAATGCACTCTACATAGAGCTGCCCTTGGAAGATTAATCCCGGAGACTACACCTGGTAGCAGCACAAGCATAAGCAAGTACATAAGAAAGCAGTTTTCAGACTCCTTTATTTACCAATAAAATTATTACTAATTTATTTCCAATAAAATCTAAGAAAAGTCATTGGAGGAATTCTAAAATAATTTAGTGCATTATACACCAAACTATACCCTAAATCAATCTTTTATAAACCCCTCTCCACTTTTAAGAATTGTGGTGGATTCTAAAAAACCTTTGTTTGTATGGATTATGATGTTTATCTATATTTACCGTATTAAAAATTAACACTGAGACATTTGCTACTGCTTTTCACAATTGTTTGATGAGATTTTTACTACATCATTTTTCAACATAGTTGTTGATCTTGCAGATCCTTAAGGTGGTCTCGAGGATCCCAGGGATTGTCAGACTGCACTTTGAGAAATGCTGCCCCAATGTCTATAACTTTATATAGTTAATTATAAAATAATTAGTTTTATAATTATAAAATAATTAGTAATGTTTCATGCCACATGAAATAGAGTACCATGGAGTAATTAATGATAGAATCCAGGAAAAGACATTTCTAGAAATATTTTAAATCAATGATACTTCGATACTGAATTGTCTACTTCCAGAAGCATTTGATGCTTTTGTTAACATAATGAATGCAGCATCATGTGGTTGGAATGCAAGCTCTCCCCTTTCATATATGTACATGTACAAAAGAAATGGGGCTTGCAACATCACAGTATATTATTCTCATTCCTCCTCACCTGCCCTCTCTTTAAATTTGTATTTAAAGTCTAGATGAAATCAGAAGATAGTCTATTTCTAAAAATATATTTTCTTCATAAATTTAATCAAGAGCAGATCATGCTTACGTCTGCAAATGGCTTATAAATGAAGATCCAGTCATCCAGGCCAAAAGTATCTTAAAAGATTAAATCACAGCAACTGGACCTAAGTTTATTAAAGTTTTTCATTTTGGGGAGAAACTCCCTGCAGTTTGTATGGCAAGAGTTGGTTCTTTCCAACCACTAACTCCCTGCCTACCCAAATTTTGACTGAAGAAGTTACTTGGATGAGTAATGAAACATCTCAGTTTTTAATAAACTTTTGTCCAGTTGTCATGATTTAACCTTTTAAGATAGATTTGCAAATGGCAGTAATTTATGCAATCTCACTTGTAATAGAATATTTTCTTTATGGAAGAGCCCTAACACTTCTTTTGGCAGGATTAGGACAAACATGAATAACTGTGTTTTTAATATGGATTTATGCATGGCAAGAATGTAAACATTTTAAATGCCCACACACACACCTACCTAACTGAATGCGCACAGACTGGTTTGGATACAACCCTGAAATACTATGCATGTTGGGACTCATCTTCTCTCTCCATGGTACCTTACAACATAGAAACACCCAAAACATCTTCAATATAAAACTGCATCTTTGTACATCAACAAACAAGCAGTCCTGTAGAAATAACTCCTCTCCCCCACTAGAAATACTTATGCATGCCCTACATGAAAGGAATGCAGAATACCAATTCAGAATGCAATCACAACAGGATGTGGTAACAGAGTACAGAGACCTCAAACTAAGTATGGGTATACCAAACTAGATAACATTTTAATATTCTTGGCTGGACAGATTCTAAATAATATTTCGAATACAGATATTTGCCGCTATTGCAAAGATTCTAAATAATCCCCGAAGGCATAAAAATATTAACCACCCTGTACCCAAAGAGCAACAAGTCTTAAATAATAAGTATCTCAAGGTTAACTCAGCCTTCCATTCTTATGTAATAGAATGGAATATAATGGAATTATTTATTGGCCAAGTGTGATTTGACACACAAGGAATTTGTCTCCAGTGCATAAAAAGCTCTCAGTGTACATACAAGCAGTAAGTGATAAATCATGATCACAGCCATCATAAAATACATTCATAACAAATCATAAGATATAAACACTATTTATAAAATAAATAGCTCTTGTGATCTGGCGAGATCCGGCCATGAACGGCGTGAATGAGTTTTTAATGTTTTTAATTTTTAAATGTTTTTTTAATAATGATTTTTTAAAATGTATTGTAAGCTGCCTTGAGTCTTCGGAGAGGGGCGGCATATAAATTGAATTAATTAAATTAAATTAAATTAAAACGAGGACCCAGATTGTTGGCGGGTGGCAATAGGCTGACACTGCAAACCGCTTAGAGAGGGCTGTAAAGCGGTATATAAATCTAAGTGCTATTGCTGTCCCTGCCCTTTCTTTCCAGGATTGCACAGCCACGAACCAGCCCAAACAGTCAACTTTTTAACCAACAACAGGGGAGGGAGAAAGTCCCTACAGCACTTGAAAGACGTGAAATGCATTTCAAGGAAGGCAGACACGGGAGTGGGAAGGAAAATGCTTTTGAAGGGATTGAAAGGACAGCTATTTTAACTCAGCCCCGGTTAAAAAGAAAAAGAAAAAAAAAAGGCAGCATCCCTGCCTCCGCCAAGAACAAAAAGAAAGCTGCGCGGAGCCTTTCTCGCCCATCATTGCAGCCCCACCGGCCCCTGGTAAGACCTACACTCAGAGGCATCTGCAGCCCACCTACCCCAACCTAACATGCCCGCTTCTCACGTTCAGCCCACCCCACCCCTCCCCGTGCATCTTCAGCCCAGAATTTAAAAAGCAGAACTTCAGAAGACTCACTAACGCCCCGCTACTTCGGAGACCGGCTCGCGGCGGGTGACAAGGGGAAAAAAAAAAAAAAGGCACGCAAGGCCGAGCCGGGGCGGCGGAGGCTGCCGGCGACAGCATAGGCGTTGCTCAGCCCGGGGCCTCCCGTCACTCACCCAAGTGAGCAAGCTCTCCCCGAGCTCGGCCCGCTCCAGACTCTCGACGTTGAACATGGCTCAGGGCGGGCGGGCAGGCAGGCAGGCAGGCGGACGGGCTTCCCCCTTCCAAAGCAACCGAGGTGTCTAACAGGCGCCTTCCGGTGACACCTCCGCCTTTCTCGCCGTCGCCCTTTCTTCTCTTGCCCGACACGCCAAACCCAGGCCGGCAAAGAGCCGCGCCGGGCCGGGCAGCTGTAACGCAAGACACGTCACCGGGTCCCGTCGGGATCCGCCCGCTCCGTCGGCCCCTGGCCCTCACCGCGCATGCGCGCGTCTTTAAAAAAAAAAAGAGGAAAAAAAAAAGCGCTGGCTCGGCTCAGTCACGCCGAGGGCGAAGGGGGCGGAGCAAAGCCGGGGTTGGCTGGAGCGCGTCGCTGTCTCTGCTGGGGGCTGACAGGCCTGGCGGGCGCCCGTCGGGGACTGGAGGTACTGAGGCACGCGGGGGCCGGGCGTCCGATACCGCGGGCTGACTCCGCGGGCAGCCGCCCTCGCCGCGGTTTCCCCGGCCCGCAGCGTCTTGAAATTCGGCTTTTCCTGCCCTCTTTGGCCAAGGCGGTTTTCCCCTCCGTTCTCCTCCTGCAGAACCGCCTGCGAAGTCCCTCCCGCTTGCAGAAATGACCGAGCTGAGAAGTGGTCTTTACTTAAAGGAGGGGGGGGAGCCCGCGGTATCGGCGGGGGGTGGGGAGAGGGCCGCCCCCCCCCTTTTTTTGCAAAGAGTTATTCGGTAGTAACTTCAAGCCCAGAGGAAGAACAGCGGTCCTGATATCGGCCGCGCTTTGCAGGATGGAAAGGCTGTTTCTAAACTTCAATGGTAGAATCTAAACTGTCTGGACTCTGGAGGGTTGTAACAATGGCTGAGGATGTCCCAAAAGTGCTTTTTTTTTCAAGAGGCAACTGGACTTTCTGGTTTTTCTTTGAAGACGTAAAGCAGCTGAAGGAAGCTTATTGGATGAGAAGAGAAATGTCTTCAAAGAAAAAACCAAAAAAAGTCCAGTTGCCTCTTGGAAAAAGCACCTTTGGGACAACCATGACCATGCATGGATGACTTGAAAATCTCCATAGACAATGGCTGAGGATGGGAAATGTTCCTTGGTTAAGTTTTGGGGAGAACTCCGAATTGCAAGGGGAAGAGGATCAGTGCACTTTGGTTAGGTTTCTACAAAACCAGGCTGCACGGTTACAAGTAGTAATAGACGAAACCAGAAAAGTGGGTTAACTCCATACTCTGTGATTAACTTAATCAGAAATAAGTATATCAGGTGAACGCAGTCATGATATATTCTTTAGTGTAACTCTGTGGCTGCTTCAAAGTTGATCTGGAAATGCCAGAGTTTGAACCCTGGGGACTTCCTCATGGAAGCATGTGTAATGATAACTAAGATGTGTGCCCTGCTGTATCTCACGACGATTGACTTTCATTAACATATATAAATGTATTTTTCTACGTTTTCTTATGCTAATCCAGTGTTTTCATCTTCAACTGCCAGAATTCTTCAGCCAGCATTGCTGGCTGGGGAATTCTGGCAGTTGAATTCCAGACATCTTAAAGTTGCTATAAGATTGAGAAACATTTTACTAATTTCTAAAGCATTAACGATGTAATAGATTGTAGCTGCTTCACCTAGGTAACAAGCCAACTTAGTGAAAGAAATTGCAGTAAAAAAAAATCAAGTTGCAGTCAGTGAAGAAAGATCCTGCAAAGTTGATAATGATAGTCAATGAAGAAAGGAAACTAATTGGATTTTTTTTTGCATCCCCCCCCCAAGTGAAGGTGGAGCTTGTTGTGTTAGCAGTTTTACAACATCAAGCTAGCCAAGTGTTGTTTCTTTGTGTTCTCTTTTTGAAGTCAAAGTGATGTATGTTAGAGTGAGAAAAATTATAGTGTAGACACTATAATGGAAGCTCTTCAGTTAGCCGGAATAAATAGTACCTGTGAATAGATCGGGAATGGTAGGATGGCTCCTGGTTTGTTGGTGTTCTTCTTAGGTTTGGGTTATTGACAGGTTTAATCCTCAACTACAAAAATTGCAATTACATTTTATGGACAGTTTCATGTATCAAAGTAAAAACTTCACTCAAGGAAACTTATTTCGTAATTAATTTCCCTTACGATATCACAGAATTCTTTGGAATGTTGGCATTACTGCAATAATACCATTCTCCATGGCAGTTTCCCTTTCAAACTGGCTTATTTATAGTTTACTCAGTATGAACGGTAGTAAATTTTTAAAGTGTCAAGCACTGAAGAATAAAATAGATTATAGAATATTGTACTTAAACTATTCTAGGGAGGTTTTAAGTTTCTTTACAGGAAAATAATCTTTTATTAAAATCTTACTCATAAGGGCGACCTTATGGTAATAAATGGCAACAAAACATAGTTATTTTTCTACCCATATAGCATTTCAGATTGTTGGCTGGTGACTCTGTTCAAAATGACTTGGTCCCTCATTGGAAGAATAGAGCCAGATATGCACCAGGAGATCCTGCAAAGTTGATAGAAGGACACTCTGGCTCTGTTATCTGGAATAAGTGTCATTTTGTTTAGTCCTGGGGAAGTGGACAGGATTCTCAGTGCTGTTAGCTCATCCCCTGTATATTAGCTGCATATACCTCCTGATTAGTTAATCTTCCTGGATAATGATATATAGTTAAGTTCAGGCAGTGGTGCATTTATCCTTGAGAGAGGTGGTAGTCTCCTTTCTCAAGAAGCCATCAATGGATCAAGTGTGTTGGACAATTTTCATTCTATCTCCAACTTTTTAGAAAAGGATGTTAAGGTACTTACACTGCAGCTTCAGAGGGTCGTGTTATAGGTAGATTATCTGGACCCTTTTAGATTTCAGGTCCAAGTATGAGAACAATAGAGCAAGATCATGATGACTTCTAGTGGGAATGAGATGGGGGTGATGCCTCTGTGGTCCTCTACTTAATTTTATTTAGCTCTCCGCCTTACTTCTGTTAAGCCCTTGATTTGAATTCAGCTGATAACTACATGGAGATACCCAAATAATTTTCTTAGTAAGAACACTAACATTATGGTTATATTTATGTGTGATCCTTGTGATCCTCTTTCAAAGGATCTATAAAATAGTTTCTATTCTACCTATAGAATAGTTCCACTGTAAGCCATGAAGTATGGAGTAAAACACTCGATGTCTCATGTATACAGTTTAAAATATGGGGGGTCCTAAATTTGTTGACTTAGGTCAGGGGTGTCACACTCAAGGCCCACGGGCCGGATTCAGCCTGCAGGGTACTTAGATCTGGCCCACGGGCTGCCCTGGAAATAGCGAAGGACCAGTCCGGTCCTTCTGGCACCTCTGCACCAAAGGCACCGGTACCTCTGCCAGCGAAAATGGAACTTGGGAGGGCCTCATGCCCCCCCCCTCCGAGCTCCATTTTCGCTGGCAGAAGGCAGCAAGAGGTCATTGTGGCCAAAAATGGAGCCCGGGGGACTGTTTTCGCTGGCAGAGCACTTGACAGATGCGGCTGACACGAGTGATGTCAAGCTGGCCACACCCACCCCATCCCCCCAAGGTCAAACACCACCCTGATGCGACCCTCAATGAAATCGAGTTTGACACCCCTGACTTAGGTTATGGGAAATTGTTGGCTAATCAAACTCACCATTGTCCATTCATTGTTATAGTATCATAAAGTATCATAAAGGCAGATTTTTATTTTTTGCAACTAGAGTACTTACAACAATTCATCTAGCGACCATTCAAAGTTACAACGGCATTGAAAAAAGTGACTTATGACTGTTTTTCACAATTACAAGCTTTCCAACATCCCCATGATCATGTAATCAAAATTTAGATGCTTGGCAACTGGTTCATATTTACGACCTTTGCTGTGTCCTAAGGTCATATGTTACCTTTTGCAACCTTCTGACAAGCAAAGTCAATGGAGAAGCCAGATTCACTTAACAACCGGATTATTGACTTTATCAGCTGTGGGGATTCGCTTAACAACCGTGGCAAGAGAGGTCGTAAAATGGGACCAAACTCACTTAACAAATGTCTCACTTAACAATACAAATTTTGGGTTCAATTGTTGTAAATTGAGAACTACCTGTATTTCATTCCTGTCTTACTGCATTTGTGAATAGATGTGATTTACAGTTTCTTCTCATGATATTTTTACACCCTCATGTTTTATTCTATGTGAGGATATATTTCTTTATATCTCTGTTTCTAGACATGAAATAATGTAGGACAAATGCTATGCTAAAATGAGAAGTTAAAAAATATCTCTTTTTCCAAGGGAGAACTCAGAAGTTCCAAACTCCAGCATCTGAAACATTTCCTTTGATTCTGAAGATGACAGAGTGATGAGTCTTCTCATTTCCAGCTGAGGTAAAAGAGTGGGCATTGATCTAAAAATATCATTGTATTAAAACAAGGATTTCCCTTTTTGGCATTTGCACAGAGGCTTTCTGAGAAGTTACACATTAATCTCTCCATGAATTGGCTTTTTATCTAAATGCTATTTTGTCTTTTCTTTAACCTTAAGGTCTCGGTGCTACCAGATAGTTTTACGGTTGCACATATTCTAGAGATTAGAGGAAGAGAGATTGAAGCATGGTGGAAGATTGCAGAAATAGAGAGCAATCATAGCAGTAGATTCTTCTGCTGTTCTTTGTTTTAAAGAGGTAGCTTTTTATTGCATCATTCTACTGTACTTTTATTGAAAAAATGCATCAAAATGAACATCAACATTTTGGTGACTGTTTTTGAACTATGTGAGTCATTTGGCTGTTTAGCTAAAGACTGATTCAGAGAGTCAAAGTAGGGGTGGTGTTTTCATGTAATTAACAGTATATTAAATTCTAAGCCTAGGCAGACAAGAAGCTGTTATTGCTTAGTGGTAGAGAACAGGTGTTCTGTTCATGCTCCCATCAATTTTTATTTTCATATTCTAGGGCCATGGCGAACCTATGGCACGTGTGCCACAGGTGGCATGTGAAGCCATATCAGTGGGCACGCAAGCTCAGCTCTGGCACGCATGCATGATTTTCGGGCCTTCTGGGCCCACCAGAAGTCAGGAAACACACTGTTTGCAGCCTCCAGAGGGCCTCTTGGGGGGTGGGGAAGGCCGTTTTCATCCTCCCCAGGCTCCTAGAAAGGCTCTGGAGCCTGGGGAGAGCGAAAAACAGGCCTCTTGGGCCCACCATGCCATTGCGTGCCAAAAGCGGGGGGAGCACAGGGGGACAAGGCACATAGAATTATGGATGTGGGCACGCGTGCATGTGACCCCACTGCACTCCCCCCGCTTTTGGCACGCGATGGCAAAAAGGTTAGCCATCACTATTCTAGGGTCAGATTCTGGTATTGAAAAATCTCTAAGAATAGGTAAGGACAGCTTGTATCAGTTTCCAAGGAAGAGTTGCTTTTTTAAAAAGTCTTTTTTAACATGTAGAGACTTGGAATGTGCAGAGGAAATCCAGAGCATATTATCTCTGGTTTAATTTACCAGAAAGAAGATTCCACTGGTTCTTAATTTCTAGAAATTGAGATTTCAATCTGTGTAAAATATAATCCATCAAAATCTAAGCACAATCTCATATTTAAATGTATTCTGGAGGAAAATACACTTTATATATATATATATATATATATATATCTACACACACACATACACACACACACACACACACATATACATACATATACATACATACATATATATACTGCATCTTTCCTCACTGCCTAGTTTTAGGTAATTCAGTGTTTTAATTATTATTTTCTGGAAGTGCTTTTAATCATTGGAATCTAAACACCTATAGAAATAAAAATATCACCAATACAGTAATAAATTCACAATTTCTAAGAAAAAAAAATCAATAACCCATCTAACATCCTGAAAAATATAAAATCAATAATCCGCTAGCAAGCCAAGGACATTATATTTCATAATGTCATGATAATAGTGTTATCATTAATGCTATGTGAACGTCCTGATCAAACTGAAACCCAGAATGTTCTTTGAAAGAATTGTCAGGTTATTGCTATACCTCAATATTCCTAGTTTTAAAATACAAATCTTGGGAATAGAATCTGTCTTTAGTACATGTTAATATACAGTTGCCTTATTATGCATCAGTGACTTTCCGTTCTACCTTCTGGAACCATTTTCTTTTTTTTATTATTATTATTTTATTATTATTATTATAAACAAACATACATATACAGACGTAGACATTTAAACAAACTATACATAAACTATATAGTAAAATCAAGTCATAAAGCTTGAACTTTGAAAATAGAGCTACTTTGGTAATTATATATTTATATATCTGTATATATTATCCTTCATGTATCAATGTTTATACAACGATATTTCATTTTAATTCCTTATTTTTGTATCATTGGGTGGTATTCCCTTATTTCGTGTTCTTTTTGTCTAACCAATTATACCATTTTTTGCCAAATTAAGTAATAATCTGAATCTTCTTTTCCCTGTATTTCTTTGGTAAGTTTGTCCATTTCCGCACATTCCATTGTTTTTTGTATTATTTTTTCTTCTGATGGCGTATCCTCCAGTTTCCACATTTATGCGAAAGTGATTCTAGCTGCGGTCAGGAAGTGTATTATCAATTAATGGTTATTCTGGAACCATTTTCATTCAAGGACATTTTATTCCTACTTCCCACTGCACTTAGTCCAGGAAATCAGAATATCACCCAATATTGGTTACCCTGTGATAGGGAGTTCCTGGAATATAATCTTAGCCATTTGAAGTCAAGCAACAAGCTAAAAATGTGAAAGTTGATTTGTTTTTGTTTATTAGTTTGTAGACAACAATATAATAATAATTGTGCCAATAAATAAATGCATATTTATATGTTTCCTAAGTTTTAGCTCTGGAATGGCCAGCCAGGAAACTGAAGTTCAAAGACTGGTACTAGATAACGATTCAATGATAGAAGGAATAAGTGACCAGGTTCTGCTGGCGGTAGTGCTTAGCATCACATTCCTCGTAGCACTGACATATATGCTATTAAGGTAAGGTGAAATAAAATGTTGATAGCAATAGAAGGTTTGTTGTTGTTGAAGTATGTCAATTTTATTCATTTCTTGTAAATTAAGTTATTTGGAAGTAGTTTATTTATTTATTATTTATTTATTATTTAAACTTATAAGCCGCCCTATCTCCGAAAGGACTCAGGGCGGCTCACAACAATAAAACACACAAAGTTCAATTTTAAAAAAAATACCCAATAAAACTATAAAAACCATTAAAATTCCCTCTAAAACCCCTTCAGTCCAAGCCAGCCAGGCGGAATAGCCATGTTTTAAGGTCACGGCGGAAAGAGCAAAGGTCAGGGGCCACCCGGAGCCCCAGGGGGAGCTGATTCCATAGAGTAGGTGCACCCACAGAGAAGGCCCGCTCCCTAGGGGTCGCCAGCCGACATTGTCTGGCCGACAGCACCCCAAGGAGGCCCTCCCTGTGGGAATGCACCGGGCGATGGGGAGCAGTCGCTGGCCCCAGATGGTCCACCAAATACCCCGGGCCTAAGCAATGTAGGGCTTTATAGGTGATTATCAGCACCTTGAATCTCACCCAGAGGGCAACTGGTAGCCAATGCAGGTCCCGCAGGAGAGGTGTAACATTGGAGTATCGGGACACTCCCATCACTACCTGTGCGGCCACATTCTGCACCAGCTGAAGACTCCGAGTGGTCTTCAGGGGCAGCCCCATGTAGAGAGCATTGCAGTAGTCAATCCGGAAGGTGACCAGTGCATGAGTGACTATGCGTAGGGCATCACGGTCCAGGTAAGAGTGCAACTGGTGCACCAGACGAACCTGGGCAAATGCCTCCCTGGTCACGGTCGTAACATGATCTTCCAGAGTCAGCCGTGAATCCAGGAGGACGCCTAAGTTGCACGCCCTATCAACAGGGGGCAACACCTCACCCCCTATAACCAGCGATGGAATATTCCCTTGGAACCAAGATGCCAGTATCCACAGCCACTCCAACTTGCCAGGGTTGAGCTGAAGCCTGTTCCTCCCCATCCAGAGCTGCACTGCTTCCAGGCACCGGGACATCACGTTGAGGGCATCACTGGGCTGATTCGGGGTGGATATAAAAAGTTGGGTATCATCAGCATACTGATGATACCCCACCCCAAAACCATGGATGATCTCCCCCAGCGGCTTCATATAGATGTTGAACAGAAGGGGAGAGAGGACTGACCCCTGAGGGAACCCACAAGTGAGGGGCCTCGGGGCAGACCTCTGTCCCCCTGCCAACACCGCTTGCGAACTCCCAGAGAGGTAGGAGGAGAACCACTGTAGAACAGTGCCTCCCACTCCCAACCCCTCAAGGCATTGCAGTAGGATACCATGGTCGATGGTATCAAAAGCCGCCGAGAGATCTAATAGGACCAGGACAGAGGAATATCCCTTGTCCCAAGCCCTCCAAAGATCATCCACCAGTGCGACCAATGCCGTCCCCGTGCTGTACCCAGGCCTGAAACCCGACTGTTACGGGTCCAGATATAGTGTTTCATCCAGGGCCAACGGGAGCTGATGTGCCACCACGCTCTCAACAACCTTCGCAATAAAGCGAAGGTTGGAGACAGGATGAAAGTTATTCAAAATAGCTGGATCCAAGGCAGGTTTCTTGAGGAGGGGTCTCACCACCACCCCCTTCAAGGTGGCCGGGAAACTCCCCTCACCCAAGGAGGCAGTAATCACTGCCTGGATCCAGCCACGTGTAATCTCCCGGGCCAAATAAACGAGCCAGGAGGGACACGAGTCCAACAAACACGTGGTGGTACTCAGCTTCCCCATGATCCTGTCCACTTCCTCGGGAGTAACGGGATCGAACTCGTCCCAAATCACCAGTCCCGCCACCACCTCCCCGACTGACCGTGCCCAGTCGGAGTCCAGCCCATCTCGAATCTGAGCGATCTTGTCCCGCAGATGTTGACTATACTCCTCGGCCCGTCCCCGCATAGAGTCATCCCCGGCTCCCTGATTCAAAAGGGAGCGGGGCACCCTAAACAGGGCGGCCAGGCAATTATCTGCGGATGCGATAAGGGCGGAGAAGTGAACACGCTTAGCCGCCTCCATCGCCACCAGATAAGATCGAGTAAAGGATCTCAACTATGTTCGGTCAGACTCGGAACGGCTGGATCTCCAAAAGCTCTCCAGGCCTCTCCTCCGACGCTTCATCTCCCAGAGCTCCTCAGTAAACCAAGGGGCCAACCAGGATCTGTGTCGGGTCAGAGGTTGCAAAGGCACGACCCGGTCGAGAGCCCCGGCAGCTGCCTTTTCCCAGGCATCCATCAGAGTCTCGACCGGGGCGTGGGAAAGAGAGAGAAGTATAGTCCCAAGCTCTGTCTGGAACCACTCTAGGTCCATCAGGTGCCTGGGGCGGAACCAGGTGGTCGGTTCTGCCTCCCAGCGGCGTGGGGCAGCATAATGGAAGGCCAGCCTAAGGAGATAGTGATCGGTCCATGACGGGGGATAAATAGCTGGCAAATTTAGTTACTTGGTTACACATTCTGAGAGCAATGTCCAGAAGAGAGCTGCTAATCAACATGATTGGAAATTGGGGAGATTTGGTTCAAACAAGCTTTATGTCAGTCCTGGAAGCCATCTTTTACTTTGGATCTTCAGGGCTGCCACATTTAGTGCTGTGGGAAACTGGGAGGGGGGATTGTATGGAGTTGGAGAGATATCTAGCCATAATAACATTCTTTTCTTTGAGAGTCAAGGACATCCTGCCCTGCACCTGGAGTGGTGTGACTGGGAGGCATCTCCCATTGGGACGGTGCATTGATTGGACCATATGATGGATATGTGGGTGCTGGGGCAGGGACTTGCACTTTCTTTTGAGTAGGGAAAACCTGGAAGCTTTCAGATTCGGGTTTTCCCAGATGTGCCAATATGACATCTCTAATAAAATGGAACTTTGAGGAACTTCTAATCTCGGAGTTTTCTTTCGTTGGGGGGGTTACTTGGAACTCTTGACACTGTAATTCTCATTGGTGTTAGACTGCTTTGTTTTCACCTTACTTATCATAGAGGATAATTAAAATAAATGTTGATTAACCTCCCTGCCCCACATGCAGATGCTAATCATATGCAATATAATTAAAATAAATTTGAAAGAAAGTAGAGAAAGTATTACTATAATGTAAAGCTTAAACAGAACTCCGATTTGAATCACATAGTTACTATGCTGACTAATTCTTAAATTAACCAATTAAGAATATTGAATAGAATTATGACAACTCCTCTCGCGTGTGGGATTTGTTTACTTGTTTTATTGTGGATGTTGTGAATTTTAAAGTTGGATCTGCATGTTTACCTCCAAATATTTATATAATCAACAATGAAATACAATGGAAAGCAGAAATCAACACCTTTTTTCTTTTCTCCCTTCTTTTATACACTTCTCTTTTCCCCTTTCCCTCCCTTATTTTTCCTACTATATGCTTTTGTATTTTTGTGTTTTATATTATAAACTAATTTTAAAAATGGGGAAAAAATGAAATATAATGAAAAGCATGTTCTGCCAAGGATTTCATTATGCAAAGGAAAAATAATGTATTGCCATTTTTATCTTAAGTACAATAGGTTATTAAACTTTTAATGTTTTAGTATATGTATTTTACACCTTGATTAATATTACCTTTGGAGATTTCATTCTATAGTTCAAGTAATGTAGCAGCTCTTAAAATAACAGCAGGCAAAAATTAGAGACCCTTAGAATTCTAAACATGATGAATTTGTATTATTCTGTCTGATTCCATTTTTGAAATGTTTTATTAATAGTATTTCTTCTTTTAACAGAGATGGGCAATCAGATATTCATCCAGAAAACCAAGAGCTAGTGAGGGCAGTTAGACAACAAATACAATCGGAACAGGTATATTTAGAATTACGCACAATTCTTTTTGATATGAATCATTTATATCCCAGAAAATTTCTCAGGTAATGTAGAACTATACACTTGTACACCAAATGTAGAAATGTTTGAGTTTGATAGGGTTTGGATACCCTAGTTCTTTGTGATTGATTATATCATTTCAAAATTAGGTATTGATGTGGATTTGCAGGAATACGTATTTAAAGTGATTATTAAAGATTATTTTTTATATAAATCAATTATATCGCTGAAAATTTCTCAGGTAATCAAATGTAAAAACGTTCGAGCTTGATCGGGTTCAGATAACCTAGTTCTTTGTGTTAAAAATAAACTTTATTATGTCATTTCAAAATTAGGTGTTGAGGTGGATTTGCAGGAATATATATTTAAAATGTCTATTAAAGAAGCAAAACTTTAGAGACTCCATAGGGTCCTAAAACTTTAAGCATAATTTGAAAGCTTGGATCTTTTATGTTATACTATGCTGCAGCTACTCCAAATTGAAACAGATAAGAATTATAAATAAACTCTGTTATCGCCCTTTTAATCATGATCATCAAAGGGCAACCTTTGATGATCAAATGCCAGGTCGGTGGTTAATAAAGCTCCCCTCATTTGTGACCTTTTATTGGAGGGGGGTGTGGACCTGGCAGGGATTACGGAGACCTGGTTAGGCCGGGGGGGGACCCTCGTAGAAATGTGTCCACCGGGTTTCCGTGCATTTCATCAGCCAAGGGCCCAGGGGAGGCGGGGTGGTGGTGGCGATTATTAGGGAAAGTCTTTGCCCGAGGGAGGCCACTGTTCTTCAGATAGCCGGATGTGAGTCCCTCTTTGTGAAGTGGGATCGTGGGGTGCAGATGGGCTTGCTGACTACGTACCTGGCTCCCTGCCATGTGGCGGCAGCCCTACCTGAGCTGCTCGACGTTATTGCCGGGGTGGTGGCGGATACCCCCAGACTCGTTGTCATGGGGGATTTCAACCTGCCAACCGTCGGTGAGACATCGGAGGCACTTAGGGAGTTCATGGCTTCCATGACGGCCATGGACCTGACCCAGTTAGTTCAAGGCCCCACTCACACAGGAGGACATACTCTGGACTTGATTTTTGTCTCTGGTCAGTAGTTGAATGATCTAGAAATAGGGGATTTAGATATTAAGCCCTTTTTCATGGACAGATCATTCCCTCCTTCACTTAGACTTTCGAGCCGCTTCCTCTCGCTGCAGGGAGATGGAACCAACCAGGTGGTTCCGTCCCAGGCGCCTGATGGACCCTGATAGGTTCCTGACGGAGCTTGGGCCATTTCCTGAGACTCTGGCACATGACTCGACTGAAGACCTGGTGGCCGCCTGGGATAGGGCGGCCGCCGGGGCTTTAGACCACGTCGTGCCTTTGCGGCCTCTGACCCGATGTCAATCTCAATTGGCTCCTTGGTTCTCCGAGGACCTGAGAGAGATGAAACATCGGAAAAGATGCCTAGAGAGTGTCTGGAGGACTAGTCAATCTGAATCCAACCGAACACTGGTGAGGTCTTATATCAAAAACTACCTAGTGGCAATAAAAGCGGCAAAATCTAACTATTTTTCCGCTCTTATCGCATCTGCAGAGAACCGCCCAGCCGCTTTGTTTAGGGTGACCCGTTCCCTTCTTCAGGGGGGAGCGCGGGAAGACCCTTGCAGGGTCGTGCTGAGGAGTTTGTGCAGTTCCTGCATGATAAAGTTGCTCGGATTCGGGAAGGCTTGGACTCCGACTGGGTGAGTCCGGGGGGGAGATGGGGGTAGGTCTTGAGAACATTATCTGGGAAGAGTTTGACCCTGTGGCTCCCGAGAACGTAGACAGGATTCTGGATAGGCTTAGTGCTGCCACATGTTTATTGTACCTGTGTCCCTCCTGGTTGGTACTGGCCTCCCAGGAGGTTACACGAGGCTGGCTCCAGAGGATTATAAATGCTTCCCTGAGTGAGGGGACCTTTCTTGCCACCTTGAAGGAGGCGGTGGTGAGGCCCCTCCTCAAGAAGCCTTGCCTGGACCCAGCTGTATTAGCAAATTACTGTCCGGTCTCCAACCTTCGCTTTGTGTCGAAGGTTGTTGAGAGTGTGGTGGCACGACAGCTCCCCCAGTACCTGGATGAAGCTGTCTATCTGGACCCTTACCAGTTGGGCTTCAGACAGGGGTACAGCACAGAAATGGCATTGGTTGCATTGGTGGATGATCTCTGGAGGGTTCGGGACAGAGGTTCCTCTGTTCTGGTCCTATTAGATCTCTCAGCGGCTTTTGATACTATCGACCATGGTATCATGTTGCAGCGGTTGAGGGGGTTAGGAATAGGAGGCACCGTATTGCGGTGGTTCTCCTCTTTCCTCTCCGACTCGCAGTTTGTGTTGGCAGGGGGGCAGAGGTCAACCTCGAGGCACCTCGCTTGGGGGGTGCCGCAAGGTTCGGTCCTCTCGCCCCTTCTGTTCAACATTTATGTGAAGCTGCTGGGCGAGATCATCTATGGTTTTGGGGTGAGGGTACATCAGTACGCTGATGATACTCAGCTGTACATCTCCACCCCAGACCACCCCAATGATGCCCTTGACATGATGTCCCGCTGCCTGGAGGCCGTGTGGTCTGGATGGGGAGAAATAGGCTCAGACTCAACCCTTCCAAGACCGAGTGGCTGTGGCTACCGGCGTCCCGGTATAGTCAGCTGACGCCATCGCTGTCTATAGGGGGTGAATCTCTACCCCCCACAGAGAGGGCTCACAATCTGGGCATCCTCCTGGATGCACAACTGTCTTTAGAAGAGCATATGACGGCCGTGGCCAGGGGGGCTTTCTATCAGGTTCGCCTGATTCGCCAGTTGTGTCCCTTTCTGGACCGGGACGCCTTGCGCACAGTCACTCACGCCCTTGTTACCTCCCGGCTGGACTACTGTAATGCTCTCTACATGGCGCTCCCCTTGAAGAGCACTCGGAGGCTCCAACTGGTCCAGAATGCAGCCATGCGGGTAATTATGGGTGCAACTTGTTGCGTCCATGTAACACCTCTCCTGCGCGAGCTGCACTGGCTCCCAGTGGTCTTCCGGGTGCGATTCAAGGTGTTGGTTACCACCTTTAAAGCGCTCCATGGCTCAGGACCTGGGTACCTACGGGACCGCCTTCTGCCACCGATAGCCTCCCACCGACCAGTTCGCTCCCATAGAGAGGGACTCCTCAGGGTGCCGTCGACCAAATTATGTTGGCTGGCGACACCCAGGGGGAGAGCCTTGTCTATGGGAGCCACTGTCCTTTGGAATGAACTGCCCCCGGATATACGCAAGATCTCTGACCTCCGAGTTTTTCCTCTGTGCTCTTAAGACCCTGCTCTTCCGACAGGCAGGGCTAGCTTCATAATTGAGTTTTAAATTCGGAGTTTTTGGGTTTTTTAGCTAATTTTGGCCTTAAATGTAATACTTTTAATAATTTTTTAAATTTAAATTGTGATATTTGTATTGTGTTTTTACTTGGCTGTACACCGCCCCGAGTCCTTCGGGAGAGGGGCAGTATAGAAATAAAATTATCCTTATCCTTATCAACCCAAAAGGGAAAGGTCCTAAGAAGTTTCAAAATGAGATTTCACTTTATCCATGTATTTGTTGGGAATGAGCTGTCATGTATCTGTGTTGTTCTATGGTATGACCTTATTGCTTCCTTCCTTTATCACTTAACAAAGTCTGAGATTTCTTTCTTGTAAATATGCCAATCTAACTATTTTGCAGCTTGAAACAAATAAAATAATTTGTTCGGCTTGAATTAATTATAATTCTCTGTTTTCCTTCCAGGAAAATAGTGTTGGTGACAGGCAACATTTCTATACTGATTTGTCCTGCCCAGTGTGTTTGCAACAGGCTACATTTCCCATTGAAACAAATTGTGGACATCTTTTCTGTGGTATGCAAAAAGTAAAATAAAATCTGAATAGTTTCTTATATTCCTTGAAATGGTAAGAGTTGCTTAGGAAACATGCAAAATAATGCTGTTTTTGGAAATGGATTGGCCTTAAAGAAGTGAAGAAATTCTATTTTAATTATTTCAGCTGATCTCTTGTTATTACGTATGTGTGTGTGTGTGTGTGTATCAGTCAGTCAGTCAGTCGTGACTTTTAAAATGTATAAAGTGAATCGCTATTACATAGCAATTTCCTGTCCATTTGTAATTTGGACTAGATTTGCAGCAACTCAATAATACAGCTGTCATGAACTGATAGTATTTGGGCAAAGAATTCAGATAATGCATTTCTCAATGATGTATGTAAGCAGTCTTTTCCTCTCTTCTGAGATTCAGTGTCTTAAACTGGCAAATGATTTTTAATAATTTTATCAACTTCAGTGAACCGCTGTTTGTTTTTAAGTGAGATACTGACTCACATTAACATACGGATAGTCCTCTACTTACAACCATAATTGAGCCCAGGATTTCTGTTGCTAAGCAAAACAGTTTGCCTCATTGTATGATGTTTCTTGTCACTGTTGTTAAGTGAATGTAACAGATGTTAAATTAGTAACATGGTTGTTAAATGAATCTGGCTTCCCATCACCATTGGAATACTGCAACAGTTGTAAGTGTGGAAAATGGTCATAAGTCATTATTTTCAGTGCTATTGAAACCTTGAATGGTCACTAAACAAATGGTTGTAAGTTGAGGACTATCTATATTTAGAATTTAAGAAATTAATAAGTTATTTTCTTTAGGTTCCTGCATTATTGCATATTGGAGGTGCGGATCATGGTTAGGTGCGATACACTGCCCTATCTGCAGGCAAACGGTAATAATATGAATATTTTGATGTAAAATTCTAGCTCTAATTTTACAAATGTTGTATGCTGAGTCCTAAACATAAATGGAAATTTAGGAAGTTTAGCACCTAGGTTTTTTTTTAACTGTGATTTTAAATACATTTGGTGTACTATGTTTTTTGCTTTTCTTGTCTTTAACATCAGTTTATAATATATTTAAAGAATGATGCAGTATATGGCTAGAGAATAACATTTTCTTTAGAATCTTAACATAGGATTTTATATTATGAATTCCATAAGATAAAAGTAAGGTACATTTGATAGAAATGCAACCAAACATTCCATAGCACCAACATAGGTTACTTGAGATAAACATTTTCATGGATTTGAATTAAAGCCATAAGTAGTTACATATTACTATCAAATATATCTGTAATGTTCCCACAGATAAGAAATAATTTAATCTTCCTTTAAGCTTCTTTCCTGCAACTATTCAGATAAAAGTTTAGAGTTCTTAATGTCCTGGTTTTCTGAACTTTTTACTGAACACTAATTTGGCAAGTGCTTCAACACAGAACAGATATGTAGGTTTTCAGATCCCGTTTGGATTATTCCAATTTATATAGAAGACTTCAAAATGGTTGAGAAAGTTCAGATTCAAAACAAGGCAACTGGAATATCATATAGTTCTAACAAGCATTGCCATAATATGTCAATATTTTACCATCTGCACTGTTGCCATTCCTTTTTTTATTCATTTTTGCATTTTAATGTCATATGTAGTGTGGGGTCAGTTTAATCCCTGGATCACCTTTTATGTTTACTTACTTAGATTGTAAGATTACCACCTGAGCCCTTTTTTTCTAGTTATCCCAGGTATGAAATATCCACCAGGCTTACTTGGTACCTGTATTTTGGTCTCTTGGTTTCTAGACATCCTTATTTCTCTTCTCCAGACCTTTGGCAATTATGTACATTAAATGCACTTCTCCTTATGTTTTTATGTTGTTACTCTGCTTTTATACTGGTACATAGCTATTTTCTTATACTTTCTTAATCTATTTCTATTCCCTCCTCAACATCACAGTTGTTAAATAGTTTTAAAGTATAATAAGTTACCACCTGAATTTCTATGTTCCTAGTAATATGTTTAATACTGATAGAATGTAAGAAAGACCTGGCAGGAATACCTCTGCATTCTTCCCAAAACTTTTTGCTTGACAAATTACTCTTAAGTATACAAGTAATCCTCAACTTGGAACCAGAATTTCCATTGCTTAACAAGCTGGTTGTTAAGTAAGCCATGCCTGATTTTATGATCTTTTTTGTCATGGTAGTTAACTAATCCCTGCAGTTCAGAGGTGGGTTTCAGCAGGTTCTGACCAGTTCTGGAGAACCGGTAGTGGAAATTTTGAGTAGTTCGGAGAACTGGTAAATACTACCTCTGACTGGCCCCACCCCCATCTATTCTCTGCCTCCCAAGTCCCAGCTGATCAGGAGGAAATGGGGATTTTGCAGTAACCTTCCCCTGGAGGGGGTTGGGAATGAAGATTTTACAGTATCCTTCCCCTGCCACGCCCACCAAGCCACACCCACAGAACCAGTAGTAAAAAAATTTGAAACCCACCACTGCTGCAGTTGCTAAGTGAATTTGGATTCACTCATTGACTTTCCTTGTTGAAAGCAATCTGGGAAGATAACAAATATTGATCACATGACCCCGGGACTCTGCAACCATTGTAAATACATGCCAGTTGTCAGGTGCTTGAATTTTGATCATGTGGCCATAGGGGTGCTGCGATGTTTATACTGTAAGTGCGTGAACTGCTTGTAACCACTTTTTTCAGTGCCATTGTAACTTCACACAGTGGCTAAATGAATGGTTGTAAGATGAGGACTATCCATATACACTTTTAAATATATATACTGTGTAAGAAAAGGAAGGTAGATCCTATATGAAGATGTTGAATACCTGTTTTTTTTTATTCAGGTTACTTTATTTTTACCACTCTTTGATGAGGGACAAGAGGATGCAGCACAAGTGCTTCATGACGTTAGTGATTATAATAGGAGATTCTCGGGACAGCCAAGATCGGTATGTATGGAGCTAGAGCAATTAAAAGATATGCCCAATGTTCTATTTATTATGGCAAACGCTGCATTTCCCTATGTGAGTTCAACAAGTCCAAGCTATCTTCCCAACTCTAGGAATGAAGCTGGGGTAGCAAGAACAAGTGGAGGGATAATTTCAATATTTTTCTTAAAAGTAGCCGTTGTTAAGGTATTGGATGGAAATGGATGGGAATTGTGCCCATGTTTGTCAGTCCTCATCTCCTTCTCCAGTTCGCATTGCATAGTAGGGCATTGTTGAAGGAGCAGTCTTCATCTTGCTTCAGAGTCCCATGTTACTCAGAAAAGGGACTGAAAAACCGTAAGTTTTAACTCAATCAGATAGATTTGTGAAATCATAAATAAGATAATCACCATTAGTAGCAATATTTTTAGTGTGTTTTTTAGTATAAAAAGATGAGATTTGCTAGAAAAAAAATACAAACTTTTGAAAACTAAGGTAGTCTACCAGAATAATCTTTAATTTCCCCCCAAAAAAACTTTAGCAATTCTACCTTTCTGCTATCTCAACAATATAGTGCTTCGACATACAATATCTCTTCCTGGATAATACTATCCATACTATACCGTTTCCCCGAAAATAAGACATCCCCTGATAATAAGGCCTATCGGGCTTTTGAGCACATGGCAATAAGGCCAAGCGCTTATTTCAGGGTTCAAAAAAATATAAGATGGTCTTATTTTCGGGGAAACACAGGTAGTGTTTATATTACAGAGATATGACCGGCAGGGTAGATTTGATTTAAATCGAGTTGATTTAAATCACAATTTAAATCATGATTTAAATCACTAGTAAAAAAGCTTGATTTAAATCAACTCGATTTAAATCATAATTTTTAAAGAGCAACTGTCATCTCTGCTACTCCTTTGACCCGCTGTTGACTCACCGATAGTCCCAGTGTTGCAGAATATACAGCCTCATGCTACATAACTAAGCTCCATTTCATGCTGAATAAACTAAATTATTTATGTATCTTAAATAGAAAACTATCTTACGATAGATTTTTACCCCAAAAGTTTTTTATTAAAATAAATTCAATAAAAATTAAAAAAAATCCAATTTAAATCAAAAAAATCCAATTTAAATTAAAAAAAATCTGATTTTTTTAAAAAAAATTATTGATTTTTATCCACCCTGATGACCGGTGATTTCAGTTGTTTTTGTTATGTTTTTGTGGCAACGTGCAACCTTTCATTACCAAACAGGCTTGCTCAAAAAGTACTAATGTAGTTAGAAGAGAGAGCTGTGAGCCATATGATCTCTAGTCCAAATCTCATGCAGGCCGTGAATTTGTTAGGGAATCTTTGACAAGCTACTGGCAGGCAAGCTCCCTCTGATATTCAACAATTACAATACCAGTCTTTCTTATTTAATGAAGCTGTGCAGATCATTTGGAAAGCACTGCTTATACCAAATTATTTTTGTTATTTTTATTTAGTAATTAAATTAATTTGCCGCCCATCTTGTTTTGAAGCAACTCTGGGAGGCTTACATAATAAAAACATTAAAATAATCAGAAATAAATATCCCTAACCCAATAACATGACAATATGCTCTTCATATTCTATATTCATATGAATATGCTATCTTGAAGTATAAAGATGAGTATGTCTCCCTGATAGCGGTCCTAGCAGAAGCATTTCTTATGTGTACATGCACAGAGAGACAATCTTGAATAATCAGCTCAAAACTTTGGGGAGAAGGATGTGACTACCTTGATACTTAAAAGCTTTGGGGGAGATTCTCCTCAGAAGATTTTGCACAGCTGTGTTATTTCAATGTGTTTTGCTTGTTTTATTAGCTTGTCTAGCCTTGCGTCTTTAAGAGATTCCATGCATTTTTAAAAATTAAGGTTGGGTTCTTATTGACCACTATAGATGATTAAGTTAAAAGTCCTGGGGAAAGAAATTTAGCTCTCTCTAAAGCAGGGGTGGGGAACTATGTCCCTTTTATGACTTGTGGACTTCAACTCCCAAAATGCCTGAGCCAGCCATAGTTCCTCACCTCTGCTCTAAAGTGATCCTATTTGATTGCGCATTAAAAGCCTCAGCTGTGATGTTAAATGCTCCTGTGGCAAATTACATCTTGCTCATAAAACAAACAAATTTTGACTGTGTATGTCTTGTTTAGATTATGGAAAGGATTATGGATTTACCTACATTATTGCGTCATGCGTTCAGAGAAATGTTTTCTGTCGGTGGTCTCTTCTGGATGTTCCGCATCAGAATATTCCTCTGCCTCCTGGGGGCTTTGTTATATCTTGCATCACCGTTGGACTTTCTACCTGAAGCTTTGTTTGGAATATTAGGATTTTTAGATGATTTTTTTGTGGTTTTTCTGCTACTCATATATATATCTATCATGTACCGAGAATTTGTGACACAGAGACTGAACAGATGAAGACAGATGTCAGTAATTAACATTAAGGTGCATTAAGTGAATTAACTGTTTTGAGAAAAATATCTAGACACAAGTTTGGTTATTAAACAGCCTTCGTTTGATCATCTTATGCAATCAAAAACACATCTTTATTTCAAACATAAGACAGCATAAGATAACATGAGATTATAAAAGTAGATTGTGCAAGCATGAGGAATTAATGTCACAGTGATTAGGGAACTGGAAATTTGATGTGCGATATTAAAAAGGTGTAACCCATGCTTATATATGTTTACAGCAGATGAATGAGTAAATGCCATTTAAGCCACCAGCAGTGATAAAAGGGAAATTGTCTTGGAATATTTTATTTGAATTAGCTGGACATGTGCTTAAAACATTGTTTAATGTTTAATTTCATAATAAATGTAAAGTTTCAAAAATGGCTTTAGGTTGTGGGTAAACAGATAAAGGGGATTTAATTTTAAACACAATTGTTTAGAATGTCCGTCTATGCAGGAAATGCTCAAGCAGTGCAGTTATTAAATAAGCTTGTGTTATAATATTATATTGCACCATCAGAATACATTACAGTGTTGTGACTATGTACAATTATGTGTTGTCTCAATATAATTTTTCCCCATGGAATTGCACTGTCCACTGTGGAGAGGATGCTGTCTTCTCCATAACAAATGATTGTATGTAGTAAGGTTTTGTATTACAATATTCAACATTTTTTTTTGTAAAAGAATTTAGCCTAGCCTAACATGAAGCTATATTATGGTACAGTATAAGGCAAAAGTTTAAGTTTAAATTGTAACTGACTTCTTTAATCAGGTGAAATACTAAATGGCATATTAAATAATAGCTGATAGAGCCATTAGCCGAAATCTAAAACTGCGTTTTATCGAAAGTATACTTGAAATAACAACTGGTAATGGGGACCATAGATACATGGTTATATCATATAACCACAGTTTATATGAAAAATATATAAACATCCTTAAGAGTAAACCTTATTGAACATTGTAGGCCTTTCTTCTCAATAAGCACACATAATTTCAGACTACAAGTCTTCTCAAGTTACATTTCATAAAACATTATGAAATGCCTTGTTTAAGCCATGCAACACTTCTTGAAGATAGAGAAAACGACTAACAAATCTACAACGCTGGAAAAACTGTAACCTTCCATATGATGTAACTTCCAGCTTTCCTTGCTATTTGTAGTCCCGGTTTGGACTAATGGAATATAATAACTGTAAATTCTCCAGCCTGCTTATACTACTTCATTTCATATCCCAACTGGAAATATACTAACCTGTGAAGAACATGCACTATCTCCTTAGACATATGCAGACAAGAGAATAAGCATATAAGGTGCTTGGATTATAAAAGGTGCTATACAACATTTAATCTCCAAAAATATAGATATGAGTGCTGAGCTATATGTGGAATGTTCTTAACCCCTTAAGTATCCATGAAATAATTATTTAGGTCTTGCTTTTTAGCAAATACCTGCAGAGAATGAAAACTTTGTGGTAAGTTAATAAATATGGTTTTTTTAAAAAGAAGCTGTGGAGAAGCCCAGTGGATACCCATTTCTGGTCTGAATTCTCTATGGTAGGGTTGTCATTATGAAGACTTATATTGAACTTAAAATTATTAGCCAGATATTTATTATTTTTATTCATATCCCACCTTTGTTTTTATAAACAACTCAAGGCAGTGAATATATCTAATACCTCTTCCTCCTCCTATTTTTCCGCAACAGCAACACTCTTAACATTTTAAAAATTTTATTCCCATTTAAAACTGAATTCTGAATACTGCCTTAATGTTGAATATTGACTTATTTTAAATATTTAAATACCAACGCAATTCTAAATTATGATTAATGGGGATAATTGATAGTCGGAGAGGAGGCAATGTTTAAGTCTTATTTCCAATCATATAGCTACAGTTAGAGAAGAGGAAACATTATGTGCATTAACATTGACTTGAAAAAAATCCAAGGCTTTCAATTTGATGAAATTGTTGCCAAAGAAATCTCCCATTATTAACAAGCTTAGTTGATACAACAATCTTCTTCATATACTCTATATAAAGACTGGATTTGAAATGCCATTTTGGTTTTTGCTTCCATTTCTATGCAGAGGTTCCAAGTGCCAATATCCACAAATGCGTATGTTGGAATGTACATAACTGAGTACATTTGAGTAGTAAATTTTGTAAAATGGACGTATCTCTCTCAGAATGCTGAATGTGCCCATGATCTAAGTTTTCTTTAAAAATATGGGACCATTTTCATTATTTCTATAAATATATGTCTTAAATTGTCAAAGTTATGTCTGGAGAACTTGTTTGAATGCACCTGCTGCATACTAAAACTTATAGCAACTTGTTTTATCCATGTTTGAACTGAAGAAAAGGGAACAGGATACAATAATTTAGAAAAAGAAGATACTTTTATACTAAACCTTGTAATACTTCTCTCACTCCCTTGTCCTCAATAGCATCTTGACACAGTTTCTTGGCTTACTCAGGTAAAATTCTAGCATGATGTGAATTTTGAATGAGGTAAATTTGGCAAGCACCAATCCTGTGTTTCAAGGGCAGGAAAGATAGAGTCATAAGTTATGAAACAAAGAATCTTGATCATATATATATGTTTACAAAGAAGAATTATCTTCAATCTTATTTTAAAGGCCTTCAGGTGATGTAAGTACAGAGTCAAAGTAATTAGCTACTTATTGCTTTCTGTTTTTAGTTTCATTTTTGGTGAAATTAAGGCATTTATTATGCTGAGCAAAATAGCTATAATTACAAATAGAGCTTTAATACCCTACTTTTTTCTGTACTGATGTTTTTCTTGTACTCTGGTCAACAAATGTCCTCTTACAGAGTTTTGGGATACCTCCCCAGTGGGGCAGCAATCAGTATCACATAATACACTAAGCTCTAATATGGCTTATTTGATTTTAATCTAGTGTGCTATGTTGGCCTAGCTCCAGATAATTCAGTAAATATTTGTTCAATAAAACATGGCATAACAAATAGTCCTCATGCAATGTATGAACCCAGCGTGGGTGTTCTAATGATGCTCTAAGGAGTCAGGTTAGATGGTGGTATGCTTTCCAATTGGGGACAGTTTAGAATTTTTTTCTGGGAATTTTTCTAAGAAATCTTTCATCTCATGCACACAGCTTAGGTTAGCCCTTCTCAACCTAGTTCCTTCCAGATTTTGGCAGGGGTTGGGAAAGACTTATGGGAAAGAATAAGCTTTCCTATTATCTTTTTTCTTAGCTTGTACCCACCTTCCAACATACACCCAAGTTGAATCTATATAGAAAGAATGTTTGTTTACATTGACTGTTAATATATAGTTAATTAAACCACTCTCTGATTGTTTTGTAAGAATTTGGGCAAAAAGTATCATAATGCCTCTAATTCTTTAGAACCAGTAGTAAAAGTGGCAGGAGGCTCCGTCCACCTGCCCAGATGTCATAATTGACGATCTGCGCATGCGCAGAAGCACACACGCTCCCGCGAGCGAAGCCCATGTGTGCTCCCGTTGCAAACTGGTAGTAAAGTTAAGTAGAACCCACCCCTGGGTACCACCATGTACCTATTGCACTAATTTCTAAAAGGAATTGAGATTCCTTATACAAAGAGGATTCAATCACCAGTTTACATGCAGTAATCAAATGTCACATTCAAATTTAATTTTACATTATGTATTTGATTTAGAACTCTTTTTTCTTTTTAAAAATATTACCCATTGAGGCTTTGTTTTCAGGATGGATTGTACATTTCATGGCTCTGAAATCCTATTATTATTATTATTGTATGGCATTGGTACATTAGCCAGGAGACCACAATGTTATTGCAGAATAGTAGATTGGCTTGCGAATTTACCAGCTCTGTTATAGGACACACTTGTGTGCTTCCCAAGGTGCGCCATAGCAGGGAAAGCTGGCTTTGCACCAGAAAGAAAGACGAGCAGCTCTTCCTGCAGCATCATCCAAGGCTCTCTCCCTTCCCCAGAGCTGCCTCATAAACAGGTGCCACAACTGGGAAGTTCAGAGCCAGCAGGAATCTAACTGCCTGAACAGAGCACCAACTCATCACCCCACCAAAGTAGTACCTATTTATCTATTTGCATAGAACATGTTTTCAAATTGTTAGGCGGACAGAAGTTGAGGCGAATGATGGGAGTTCACTCTGGCACACAGTGCTAGGACTCAAACCGCTGGAACAGAGACTATCTCCAGCATCATTAAGCCACCGAGCCTCTTCTGAAATCCTACTGTATTAATCAGACTAAAACAAAACACTGGTCTAAGCTATGCAGCCACCCTTTTTAGAAAATGTTTGCAAGATAAAATATTTAATGGAAAATCTGTACAGATAATGCTCGATTTATTACCACAGTTGAGCCCAAAAATTTCTGTTGCTAAGCAAGATAATTGTTAAGTGAGTTTTGCCTCATTTTACAAATTTTTATACCAGAGTTTATTAAATCATTTGGTTATTAAGTGAAGCTGGCTTCCCTCATTGACTTTGCTTGTGGAAGCCGGCTGGGAAGATTATAAATGGGGATCATTTAACCCTGGGACAGTGCAACTGTCATAAATACATGCCATTTTCCAGGCCCCCAAATTTTGATCACATGACCCTGAGGATGCTGCAATAGTGTGGAAAATGGTCATAAATCACTTTTTTCAGTACCGTTGTAACTTTGAACAGTCACTAAATGAATGGTTGTAAATCAAGGACTATCTGTAATCACATCATGCTATCTAGTTGAACCCACAGTATTTTAAAACAATTCTGCTATCTATTGATCTTGTAATTAAAAACAGTACTGTATATAGGAATTATGCTAAAATGACTTTCATTTAAGGAAGAATTATACTACAATACTATCTATATTCAATGAAGGGCAAACTCCACTGAATACACTCTTGAGTAGGCATATATAGTATATGGTTACAATATTAGTAACTAAACTTGCTCAATAACGGCCTGGAGACCTGAGGCTGTAGATTACATAGTATTGCATATCTTTTATAGAAAAATCTAAGCTAATTTTTGTTTTTATTGTAATAAAACCATATCTGAAATAAGAAATGTACTCTGGCTATTTATTTTCCTGTTTGTAATATCATCATAGGTTTGCATTCTCTAAAACATGTTTAATTTTTTAAATAATTTTTATAATTTTATTAAGAGTTTTTAAAAAAATTAAAAGCTAATATAAATTAGTGAAGAAAAAATCAAAGAGAAAGCAAGAAATGCAAAATGCAAGAAACAAAAAAGACATGTTGAAAAAAATACAAAGAAGTGACTTCCAATACTTTTTACAGCAGTTGTAAGCACATTCTAAATTTACTTATCTCAAATTAAATCATTACTCTCTTCTTTCTATAATATAGTCTGCTTATTCATCAAAATCACAAATCATAAGTTTTTCTGTTTTCCACATAAGGGGTTTCCAGTCAGCAGTAAACATGGTCTTTTTTCTAATCAAAAAACTCAATTTGGCCACCTCCGCAGGTTCTAACATCTTTATCAACCTTTCCTCCGTTGTAGATATTTTCAGATCTTTCTAGCTCTTGCTGCAGTTATATACAAAAAAAAGTTCCCTGGCATTTTTCTAGTTGTTTGTCCATCAGTCCCAAAAGAAAGCCTCTGGTCTCAATTGTATATTACATTTTTAAATTCTCTAAATCGGTGTAGTTATTTAAATCCAAAATTTTATAACTGCTTTACACATCCACCAAGTATGATAAAACGTCCCTTCTTGTTGCTCACATTTCCAACATAAATCAGAACATACTCTAACATATTAAAGTGCCTTTATACACATTAAACAATTTCTTTTGTGTCATATCCAACAGCACATCATTTTATAATATTTATAAATTATATTCAGAGAATTTATAAAAATTCTCTAAGATTATAACAAATTGTAAATCTTTTCAGCCACCTATTTTCCCATTGTTCAATCTGTACATTATAGCCAAGATATACATTCTTTCATTTGTTTTTCTGTTTCAAATTTCAATAAAAGTTTATACATTTTAGCAATTACATGTTCATTTGTATCCAGTTGTATTTCAAACTCAGTCTTACAATGTTCTAAACCATGAAGTCTCGTCGACTTTAAATCTAATAACCATAAATAAGAAAAATATCCCTTTGCCACCAGTTCTTTTGATTTTGTGTTTCCCTTGACTCTTTTCTGTTTTGTCTTCTGTACCCTTAATGCTTTTGTCTCAAGTGGCACGCTGTAGTTAACAGTCAATGTCATATTCTGGCTCATATTATCTTTTATCTTTTATTTTGTAAAATCTGATAATTGTCTGCACTCTTTAATGATGCACAAAAATTTTTCCTGTTAAGGTATTTATTTTAATTCCAATTTATTCAAAAGCACTTTCACCCAAATGTAATATTTCAAATTTAGTATCACATTTATATCCGTTTTAAACTTTCTCATATACTGTACATCCTTGTTAAACTTTTTGCCAAAAAAAATTTAAATCTCCCCCACCCCCATTTTTCCTTTTTAAAGAAAAATGAAATTCTCTTATCTTGCCACTCAGAAAATCTCTCTAGTTGAAAATCTCTCTACTCTCTATCTCTCTTTATCTCTCTCTAATCTCTCTAATTACATCTGAAAGGGTTTAAGAACAGTAAGGCTTTTGCAAATCTTGTATTCATATTACAGCTGTAAGCTTGATTGAAATCCTTCAACTCCCAGCCTGTCAATTCATGAGTGAATTGCAAAACATCAGTTTCTGCAGTCTCTGTATGAGGAACAGCTTTCCAGAGATCAGGTGGGCAATCTCTCCATCTGTCCTTGTCCAGAGAAATTCACTGAACAGAATTTGCTGTCTGGCCCTTGATTTCTTCTGTAAATGCTATATCTACTTCCTCAGAGATAATCTAGTCTTCCAAAGATCCTCACCCAGAAGCCTCTAAAACCTGTTTAAAAACATTAAGTTAAATTAGAGAAAGCTCTTTTCCTTTTAAACAAACAATTTCTGAAAAAAAGAAAAATTAATTAGTACAATAGGGTCTGGTTGACAGAAGCAGCATTTTTAACATTTGTATATTGCTTGCTGTACAAAACATCTACAAGTGATCAAAGAGTAGAGAACATATAAAATCCAGTATCAAATGCAATAACATGCATAGAATAATATAAAAGATGAAAAACATTGCCTACATCTGAAGAGGCAGGGCCAAATTGTAAACATTATTTTTATCATGATAGGAGAACTTTCTTAGTCTTTGCGTTTGTCATCTGTAGAATAGAACATTGTTTGCTACATTGCTC